AGAAAGATAAACTCTGAACTAGTGCAGCCAGTTCAGCTATAAAGAACAGACATATTGTCACAATGTTGCTGCAATGTTCTGTGCGTATGGGTTATAGTCAGATTAATTAAAAATTAATACAAAGATATACATTATAAATTATTAAAGTTAATAAGTTTACATAATAATTAATTATATTTTACCTGATTTTAATTCCGAAGAACTGAATTTTCACGAAGTGCTACATCTGATGAAGAGTACATCGCGCGCCTAAAACACTTTGATTTTTTTGTACAAACATAGAGATCGAAATGACGTTAATCGCGCACATATATGATAAATGATATGTTCTAGCAATTGCCCGTCACTTTAATCAACACAGCCGATAAAAATTTGTACTTGTTATGCAGTTTTAACAGGCAAAATACACAATTAATCACGAAGCGGTCGTGTTTTGCAATTCTGAACCATTTCACTTTAGAAACTATATGACGGCCAGAGAGTGACTAGAGGATGATGCAGATGGCGCTAAAAATACAATTGCAATGTGTCGATAATATTGTTATTGACATTATCGACAAAGAATTTTTTTGGTTCATGTTTTCTTTCCTACATTCTCTATTTATGAGACAATATTGTGAGTCATTTTATAAATTTTTAGAGTTACATTGTGCAGTGTAATGTTGTGTACCAATATATATAAATTACAAATTAATTGTTAAAGTTATTTATATCTGCAAAGAAAATAAAATTATGTTATACATACAAGTATAAATATGGTCATGGCCTCATTACATATAAATCACACAGTATCATTGAAAGTAAATGATATTACAATACAGTTTTCTTCGATAATTGAAAAATTGCTATCACTAACTAGTACAAAGTTTAGTGACAAGAAACAAATCAATGCATGTTTACGTGATCTCAACGAACTGGATTTTAGATATCTCAATATTGTAAATAATGATGTAAGAAACATTTCTATATTTATTAATATTAATATTTTATACTAATAATTAAATCAAATTATATTGTATCTTTTGCTTTTTTTCTAACATATTTTGATTTATTTTCAGGCTGTATTATTGTTAGTGAATCAACTTTGTGGGAGTGTTCCACCTACAGAAACATCTTTAGTTCAAAATATTTGTAAATTTCTATATAATCTAACTCAAAGTAATATCAAGTTGCATGGTCAGACGTTTGCAATTTGTAAACGATGGATCTTAGAAGTATTGGAATTTTCTGAATCATTGGCACAAATTGATGTGTTAATTGTTATAAAAAGCTTCTTACACAATGTATATTTTGATGATATCAACTATGTTAGTATATGGTTCTTTTACAATGAAATATTAGCAATTAAATTGTTATTTTTTTATAATTAATTACTGTTTTATGTTTCAGTATGTACGTTTGTTACTCAGGGATAAAGGATTATTAATGAAACATTTAAATCCACTATGTAATCCATGGTCTGAAAACAATTTTCATGCACTTGGCTGTTTAGAAGAAATTGTAGCAAACAAAAGTAATAGTGACTGTTTATCAGAAGAATTTTTAAATTTGATAAAAGATATAATTTTTAATATTTTATCATACTTACCATACCGGCATGATGACAAGCTTTTTTATAGTAAGGTATGTAATCTATTTTCTCTGTGCAATATACAAAGTATATTATTTTATCATGTTACATATTTGCAGATCATACACGTGTGCTTGCATATTTTACATTGTATAATGATGGGAAAATTAATTTCTGATTCCCCTGATTTTATTGGAGAAATATTAGGAGTGACACAGGCATTTTTATTTCATGGTATTAAAGGTTATTCTGCAATGAGGCCGCAATTACTTCGTCCTGCAGCAATGAATCTTCCAGAACGCATTCATGTAGTTCCAAAATGCAAGAATCTCAAAAATCACAAAGGAAAGCCAAAGAAAACATCTACTAAAAAGACTACATCTTGTGCAGGAAATAATACCCTTTCAGAATACTGTGGAATTTCCAAATATTCCAGTGATTCAGATACATCAGATACAGAAATTAATAATTCCATTCAGATGGATTCCAAAGTGAGATTGGGAGCTATACGTTTAATACAGACTCTTGTAGAAATTACTCAGAGTAGAGACATTTTTGGATATTGGCCACAAATTGTAGCTACTGGTTCACGAAACGATGCAAGAGTATTGGCAAGAAGCATATTGGTAGAGCCTGCATCTAAAGTTAGACAAAATGTTTTGAGTACATTGACTGAATTGCTAATAGGTGCCAAACCATTCTTGATACACGCAGAAGATACCAATCAAACTTCTTTCATTACATTTTTCGGCACAGTATGCTTAATGATCAAAGAACTGCATTTTACACTGGCATTAATTTTGCTTGCCGAGAAAAATGTAGCTGTGCTGACGCACGCATTGAAATGTACGGCGGCTCTTGTGCAAAGTACGCCATACGAACGACTGAAACCAGGTTTGGCTACCAAATTAGTTAGGAATTGTAGGCCGCACATATTTCACAAAGGTATATCGCTCTGTTCTATATAATTTTTAATATATTATTGTCACTAATCGCTAAAATTTTTTATAGATCCTACTGTACGAGTTGCAGCGCTATCCATTTTTGAAGCGTTTGCTTCCAGCGAACCTCTTACTCAAGAAATATTAAACATATTAGCAAAACAGTCTATGAATGATGTAGAATCAGAAAAATTACAGCTTAATAATGGTTCCATTAGTGACATTGGAACAGAGGAAGAGGAAATAGATATTGAAGATGTCAATAATTTGGCAGATAGTTCTAATGAGACTAAAACATCAAAAGATGAAAGTATCTGTTTATTGGTTCGTGTTTGTTTAGAAAATATATCTAATAAGGTATGGTATGACTTGTATGTAAAATTGAAATTCTAATTAAAATGGTTCTCGATCAGATTAAAAATTAATGTTTGTTTTATTTTAGACAATTAGTACACCTGTGCGACTTCAATCTTTAAAACTCATGGGCAGATTGGTTTTTAATGCAAAAAACCTCGTATTTCCTCACTTGGAGAAAGTGACTACAACTTTGATCTCAGTTATGGAGGAATCAGAGAGTCAAGTGATATTACACTCGTGTCGAGTTTTAGAAATTATGTCTGGTCTGGCAAATACTGAAACCTGTCATAGCGATGGTATATTATTCTGGAACATTATATTTGAATCTATAATCTTACTCGTACAAACATCACAGACTATATTGCGAGAAGCTGCTTGCGATTGCCTAGGTAGCATAAATGGAAATGTATTTACACAATTATCGGTAAGAACTAGTAAAAAAAATTATTTACTTTATTTTTCCATACATTTTTACACTCAAAATGTTATTAATTATTAAAAGATATTATATTCAAAATTTTAAATAATATTAATATATTTCTAGGATATTCTAACATTTTGTTTATATTTTCAGAGAAAAAGAACGATATTAATAATTACGATACTATTTGGAGCAGTTCGCGATGAAGAAAGTGCTGTAAGGGCTGCTGGATTACGTGCGTTAGGGATGTTGGTGACTTTGTCAGCATTAGAAGACGATACCGGCTTTCTCATGGATCTGGCTGATATAGTTTGTTTGGCTTGCGATGACAAAAATCTCGGTGTTCGTGTGAAAAGCGCTTGGGCATTAGCGAATTTGTGTGATTGTCTTTCTAGACAAAGGTTTGTCGCTCATACTTTCGTTGTTCATCTGATATAAATTTGCATTCCTTTTTTTTGTTATGTGTTTTCTATCTACATAAATATATTTTTCCAGACAGCATGAAGAGATGGAGCCATTACCTTTAGAAGTTTTGTTACCTAAATTATATCATGTAAGCATTAAGGCTGCAAAAGACAACGATAAAGTGAAATGTAACGCTGTGAGGGCAATTGGTAGTATTTTATACTTATGTCCACAAAAGGATATACTTTCTGATACGACATTAGGATTGGATGCACTTATTAAATGTGCTGTCTTAGGAAATGACATGAAAGTAAGTTTCGATATTGTTATAAATATTTCTCAATTGATTTTGATAAAATGTTTTTTGAAATTTATAACATTAGGTACGATGGAACGCTTGCCGAGCCTTAGGATTGGTCTTAAGCCATAATCCAGACGCAATATTATCACCTACTTGGAAAGTACGTATTTGAAAATGTGATAATAAATTTATTTTGTAAAAATATAAAAATAGATATTTTTCTAGGATCAAGTATTTCCAGCACTTTCTACTTTGATATGTGACAGTCCTAATTTTAAAGTGCGCACTAACGCCGCGTGGGCACTGTCCTCATGCGATAGCTATGGCAAATATATTGTAATGTTATGGAAAAGTATCGTATTAGCATTTGAAAATGCTCAACACGTCCCAAGCTACGTTGAATATCCACATCGTGATGCACTTATTCAACAAGTGAGTATACTCTCCCATATAACACATTCTTTTGATATTGTTATAAAATTATGTATAATGACATGTAGAATATGTGTAACGAATATATGCAGATTATATTCAACATATATGAATATGTTTTGTTTTAGTTGTGCCTTACTCTTAGTCGTGTGGCTGCCTGTACAGAAAAATCTGACCTGCAAAATCTTTGGGTCGAAATTGGCGACCACGTAGAGGAAATTTCCAATTTTATGAAGCAATTTCAGGTAACATTCAAATATATTTACAGAATAGGTGTTAAATATATTAGAAATATAATTGTACAATTTTCTCTTGTGTTGAATATTTTGTTGTAGGAAACCGTTTTGCCTGAAAAATTGGGAGATTTAATTAGAGCAAAAGCCCAATTGGAACAGCACGTGAAGAATGCACGTTGTAATGAAGAACGACAAATCGCTCAATCATTGGCAAATATATTTGAAAAAACTAATCGCTATGACAATTTAGATTACAGCTTCAATATAAATTCGTAATACTAAAATAATGAAAAATAAAACAATGTATTTCCTAATATAAAAATGTTTATTTCTAAATCTTGCTAACAGAAAGAAAAATTTTATGACCAATTATTTCTCAATATACATTATTTAAATAAATTATTTTAACATTACTGGGTGAAATGTACATAATATATATGGAATTTGTATTGGATTATAGCAATACATAATGTAGTAATATAAGTAATTCTAATGAATTAAGTTAATAAATTTTAGACGATTGATTAAAAAATATACAATTTTAAATCTAAGATAAAAAATATTGATATGTATCGTCATGTATCATTTTCACTAGATGTATCAGAAGATGTTTTTGATATATCTCGATTTTCTTCTGCAAATGATTCTTTTACTGCCTTTGTTTCACTTTCATTTTTAGACATGCTCTTAGAATAATTTTTAATATTTATATCATCTTTTTCTTCATTTACTTCACTACTTTCTACAGTTCTAGTTTCTTCATCTTCATCTGAACTGTCTTCTTCTGAACTATCCTTTTCTTCTGTGACATTTTGCTCAGTAGTTTTTATTCGTTTCTTCTGCTTACGAGCCTGCTTCTTTTTCAATCTCTTAGCCCGTTTTTTTGCTGTTGCTTCTTCTGCTAATCTTTTATTTTCTTCCAGCTTCTGATGATATTCATCATCCAAAAGTTCCTACAATTTTTATAAAGCAAAAATTATTTTTTGAATAAAAAAACTGATTTTTAAGCAACCTTGCAACTTTCAAATAATTACCTTGCGTGCTTTTTCTTGGATAAATTTTTGACGTGCATACTCCTTGCGTCGTAAATGTCTATATACATGAAATTCTCCACTACCTGCTCCAGCACTGCTACCCATAACATTGCGAACAAATTCTGGTACAGAAGGTGTATTTTTGGCTTTGGGACGTTCTGGTAATACAACTGGCTTATCCTATATAATTAAAATATGTATTACTCATAAATCTTTTTAAAGTGATCTAAAAATGATAGGAAAAGTATTCGAAAGTAGTACACAAAGTCGTAAAGTTTTTTTAACTTGATACAGTACTTACTACGTTTTTCATTAACTTTGTAAGTTTTAATCTTTGCAGATCTACAGCTGTTTTTGCTACTACAGGTTTCTCTTCATCTGTTTCCTTATCTGACATTTTTATACTTCGTTAGAGTAACAAGTTGAATAAATTTAACTCAAACAATAATTCTTATACTTATTTTCACATAAATTCGTCGATTAGATATATTATGATAAACCGCACAATGCTATACGTATGATAGGCTATTAATGGCTCTGGAGAGTCTCCCCTCTTACGACAAGCACAATGCTATAAAATGCATATAAAATGTGCAACATCATTAACTATAGAACATATTAGAGCAGCGACGCAAATCATTCTTCAAAGCTGCCAGTTCTCCCCGGAGAGCTCCATTCGCACACAATTGAGACCCGCTGACGTCACGTGTCCGTGTGCGCTCGGCTTTCGGTTTGTAGAAGTGAGTAGACAAATGTTTTATGTCTCTTTTCCACCAAGCCTAATGCTGGATTCACACCAAATTCCGACGTACAATGTCAGATATCCAATAAGAAAAATTGTTTTATATAAAACAATCTCTCCTATTGGATATCGGACATCGTACGACGGAAATCGGACCTAGTGTGAATCCAGCATAACACCAACCGGTTTTATGAGGCGCCGTTGCATGCATCTTGACAGCGAAAATGCTTTTCTGAGAGTATTTAAGATAGAGAGTGTTCAATCTATATTTATTATGTTTATGATGTAAGTGATTAAAATCGCGCATGTGTAATAATGCGATATTAGTAGACATTTCTAGATACTTGACCCTTCGGTTGCATATAAAAAATATCGTTAAATTCTTCGAATTTTAAAATAGAATATATTGCATTAAAATTAATGTTCTTACGTCGACAATATATAATACATCATACACAAATAATAAGTTGTTTTATATATTTATTTAAAAATTGTGTCTTTATTTTCTTATTGGAATCACTCACTATCGAAGATGAAAAATAACTGAATCTTGAAAAACATTTCAATAAATGATAAGCGCCGGCAATTGATATATGCGGACGGTTCTTTAACAATAGGTATGTATCCTACATTCTAATTTACCAGGAACAATTAATAACGATAAATATTATGTATTTCTTGTCAAAAATCGTTAAAAATCGCAATTTGAAAGAATTATAAAAGTGTAATATGATCGTGTATGCAATCCAACTTTGACTATCTAACCTAATCCAAATGTATTCGTACAGTTCTCATTCTTCAGACAATTTATCTTTATACTTTGAATATATAATTTTGTTTCTCTTATATGTTGCTGTTGTACTACTTTATATTTACGACTGTGCTTAGAATAAAAATATTGAACGGATGAGACAAATTTGCATAATTACATGTGTCAAAAGTAATAGGAGAATACTGTAAAAAATATCAATTGAATGAAATATAGAGAGAAACTATGAAGATTCAATTGTATAAATTTTTATTATTACTATTATTATCAATACTATTTCTTGTATAAAGAAATTTATAAAAAGTGCAATTTAGGTCAAAATTTCAGGTGATATATATCTGTGCATACAATAATGGCAAGTGAAGAAGATGTACTTTGTGTTGATTCATCATATGATACCATCGATATTATTGATTTAACTAAGGAATCACCAAAAATAAGGCCTTTAAGATCACGCCTAAGACATCGATATTCACCAATGATTCGTAATTCTAGAAGTTTAGCCAATAGAAATTCACGTTTTAATCAGAGAAGCTTATCCCCTTTAACTTTAGGAAACACACAGGATACTGAAATGTTTGTATATATTAATTATATCTTCTTTCTTAACAGTACACACACATTATATACATATGTGAAAAGTATGTCAAAATATGTCTTTTTAGAGAAAATTCTACAAGAAAGAAAAGAACTTGCCGTAATCTTCCAAGTACACACAACACTACTGTGAATCTTGATGATACTAATGAAGAAAAAATTAATGAAGAAAAAAATGATATATGTTATGTCAATACTCATCATAAGGAAGATAATGAAGGAACATCTTTAAGTTGTCCAATATGTTTGGAATTTTTATGTTCTGATTTAAAACCGACTACCACACGTTGTGGACATATATTTTGTGCAAAATGTTTGAAAACACATATGCATGTAGAAAATTCCAATAAGAAAAAATGTCCAACTTGTCAATCAAAGATAACATTAAAATCTTGTACTCGCTTATATATTTAAGGACATATATATGAATACATTAAATTTTCTATAATTTTTCTATAACTTTTTATTCTATATTGTCATTATTATATATAAATATTACAGTCCATCTAGTTTGCTCTAGAAATAAAATAGTATTAAAAGCAAAATGAATAGAGAGAATGCATATAAAAGTTTTCTGAAGTAGTTTGAATTAGTCTTAAATTTATTATATATTTGTATTTCAAATGCCTTTACTTAAATTATTGTGTTTTACTAAATTTATATAAAAAGAATTTTGAAAGAGAGCTGGATTATATTTGAACAAAACTGAGTAATTCAATAATTGTTAGTTTTCTAATAGCTTCTTTTTAAATGTTACAGTCTATTTTTTTGAAGCAACATTACAATCCATTCTTTAAAGCAAAAGAACTGTCTATTCAGTGTTGTTCACATATAATCTAGCTTTCTTTCAAAATTCTTTTTATATTAATTTAGTATAACACAATAATTTAAGTGAAGGCATTTAGAATATAAATATATAATAATTTTAATTTTATTATACTCTATAGATACAGTTATAAATCTTTATTTTGTACAACACATTTATAAAAATGTAAACTGATAAATACAGACTATAGAGTATATATTTTTGAGAATAGCAATTAAAATATAAAATTGTTTTATTTAACTTCAACATGTATACCTAGTATAGTATTTTAAAATTTTATTATTTTGATGAATAAATATACATAATTTAATTTGAATTTTTTGATTTATTTTATTTATACAGTATACTAAACTTTCTGTTATGTTCATTAATCATACCATATGACCTTGTGTGCTTGTATTTCACAACAGAATTATTTCTCATTCTCTACATAAGCACAGCAGAGGAGTACAGTAAATCTTTAAGAAAAATAGAAATTACAGAAATCTGTAAAGCAAAAAAGAAGAAATAAATAATGTTTAAAAAAGAAAATGTTCAATTTTATGCTGGTGCTGCTGTGGGAGTAACAGGTAAACGAAATTACAAAATTTATTTTAATAAATTTTAATTTCTGTTATAATATAAATGTTATAATATAATATGTGCTTGTAGTTGGATTATGTATTGGAAAACTCTTATCTCCAAATATAAGATCTAATAGTATGAAAAGTAAGTAATGCTATACTGTTAATTATTTGTTTTGAATATGTTATTAAATATTTATGCTCAAATTATAAATTTTTGTAGATGTTCAGGATAATGATCTTTCTGCTAATAATAAACACAATTATCGTACAAGGTCTAGAAGTGCTTCTCAGTACATAGATAATATTCAGGAAGATTCTACATTTTTAATGGCGCCATTAACAAAACCAACATTAAGTGATTCTAATATAAATGTTAACAGTGCAATACCGATGAAAAACATGCAATTCAATAAGTCATCTTCAATTTGTGAACCTTGTCAGATTATAAACAAGAAGGAGAATCTGTCGCAGAATAGAAATGCACATTTCTTTAACGAATCTTGTAGTCACAATATAGAAGAAAAAATAATGCATGATACTACATTACATACACATGAAAAGATTATTCCAAATAATTTGATATTAAAATCAAAGTCATTAGATATTAAGAAAAACATTCCAGAATACACATCTCTTGAATATCCATCTGATAATTTTGATCAAACCAATATGGCTGTATGTAATACATTTATAGATGTAAAACAGGCAGATTTATCTTCTACATCAAATAATAATTGTGAATCTTTAGATATTGAACAATATGATAAATTTAGCGAACATAATTTAATATCTTCTACAATGTGTGACATTTCAATTCGGTTTTAAATCTTGTTTTTTTTTTGGTTTTGCATTTGCAGATAAAACAACTATTGAATTTCTATTGTTACACATTACAACGCCTATATAGATAACAATGTAATATGAATTATATGAATAAAATTTTAAGTTCCAGATCAATCACTAAAATTCTTAAAATTATAAGATTCTGAAACAAAATTCGAAATCTCGCGCGATTTTCAGCAAGCTATCACTCGATTGGCCAGGCGTATTCAGACCACGCCTACGTTTGTGTTATGGCGGCGTAGCAGAAAAATGAGATACACAGACTGTTGTGGAGGAAGAGTTGTGTGCTGCGATGAGGACGGATCTCGGTTTTGTTGTTTCGCGTATTGAGGCGAGTGTCAGCGCATTTTTCCACGACGGACGGTGTTGCGTGCGTATCAGACGCGCGGAGATGAGCGAGTAGGATCACAAGCGCGACGTAATTTCGCGCATCGGAAACGAGTCATTCCGTGCCGTGTCATTGACTCAGGACAAAGTGTCAAAATTTCGTCCGAGCCCATGTTTTTCTCCGCCCGAGGAGCAGAGTTAAACCGCGAGTAATTTCACCGTCTGATAATTTCGAACCAACCGATCGCGTGACACGAAGAAACTCGATCTGTGCGAAAGATACGCAAAAATAAAAAAAAAAACATATGCCTGACGACGCCAGTGCGCTTTGTTTTCGTTCTCTTGCAATCTCGCCAAATCTCGCCAAATCTCGCACAAAGCGAACAAAAACGGATTACGCTCTCGTTGACAAACGGATAGACTGGATTTGCGACGCAGCGCAATGTGTGCCAGTCATTATCATGCATTCGAGTTTTCTCATACTTGTTTATAGAGTGCAAATCGCTTAATATCGTGCGATATTTATGAGTTTACGAACATTGTGAGAAAAAAATCTATTATCTACTGTTTTTAACCTTACGCGAAATGTCAATCGTTGATGCGTTTATATCATTAAATTTATCTTTTCATTTATTAAACTGTTATTCGTACATTGGCATAAAAGTGGTTTAATCAGCTAATTATTTATTTACTCAGTGGAAGCTATTAGCTGAACTATATTTGGCGTTTGATAAAATAGAGTATAAATACTACACTCGTATATGATTCAAATCAACATAGAGCTGAAACAATTATTTTCTATCAGAGTTGTGTAAATTGGAACAATAACTTCATAAATATCTATTTATAAATGTAGCATTTTTGTGTGTGATTTCAGGCTGTACATATTTTGATGCTAAATAATAAATAGTGCTTAAAAGACACAAGTGAATATACCATATTATCTTCATCATCAAGACATTACCAGAAGTATAATGATCATATACCCAAGATGTATCTAATCAAATTTATTTATCAGTGATTGTATATTTGGTGAGGTTGGAGAGTGATGCCGGTTCATCAGATCAATGTTAATCCGCCTGACTGGCAACCACCTTTGCCAATTGGTCCTTCCAATAACACTACTCCCGCTGGTGGAGAAGGCTTACCAGAATGGACACCACGGGTAAATTTCTTTATTCATTGGAAATAAACTATTTAATTATTTGAAACAAAGCATGGAAATATAGGATGTATCTCAGGATAAGCATATTTTCTTTCAACCGCATATCTTTGAATTAAATGTATCTTTATGAGAAAAAAGTAAAGAAATTTTTTGAAAACTAAGCTTTAAAAGAATAAATGAGTAACAAAATCAAATAATTTCAAGCAGATTTTAATAGAATTTTAATTTGAGACTTTAGTAGAAAAATGTATAAAAATTGCAAAGTTATGATAAATAATGATCTACCTCAATATTTTTATTGAGAAATTATTGATTAAAAATTTTGTTAAAAAGATTTGTAGTTTAAAGGTGCAGTTAATAAGAAACATTTTGCATATTCTAAAATTGAAACATGAGATATTTTGCCAAGTTACATAAGTAATATAATGTATTAATATAATGTATTATGTAAATATATTAATTGCTGTGTTGAAATGGAATATTTTGCAGTTGAATATTATAATTTTTTATCACCATGATAATTATTAATGTATTGTGATAATGTTATCAGGAAAGTTATATGTAGATATAAATTACATAGAAGATAAGAGTACTTTGATAATGAACTTTTTTCCTTGGTGATTCATAAAAGTGCGTTTATTCAGGAATCAAGTTATGCCACAGTAGTCACTATTATACCAGACCATTGTCACTCGTCCGTAAGCACATTGTCCTCGACCAACCATGATATTTGCAGGTGAATATGGACAATGAAGACATTTATAATGAATGATTTCTGTTTTATTGTAAAAAAATTATGAATTCCATTTGTAAATAGAATCTGCCACTGCGAAGGTGAAGAAGGTGCTCCTTTATTAGCACCTTGCTATTGCAGTGGCAGTCTGCGTTACGTACATCAGGCTTGTCTTCAGCAATGGATAAAGGCTTCGGATACACGTGCTTGTGAATTATGCAAGTTCACATTTATCATGCATGCCAAGACGAAACCATTTTGCGAGGTCTGTGTCTCAAGATTTGGATTTATGTTTCTTAATTATGTCAAATATAAACGCTGTATGATATTTATAGTGGGAGAAACTCGAGATGTCTGCTCTGGAGGTGCGAAAATTATGGTGCGCAGTTGCTTTTCACGCAGTAGCTGCACTTTGTGTGGCATGGTCATTATATGTACTCGTCGAACGATCTGTGGAGGAAGCCCGGCGTGGATTCGTCGATTGGTCCTTCTGGACTAAATTAATAGTTGTCGTGATCGGTTCCACTGGTGGATTAGTCTTTATGTACATTCAATGTAAAGCATACATCACATTGTGCAGAAAGTGGCGAGCATTTAATAGGTATGTACTACATGTGTTTCATAACTGAATACTTATAAATATTTCAGGCCGATTACATAAATCTGTTTTTCAGAGTGATATTTATTCAAAATGCTCCCGAAAAAGTGGTGCTTCCTCCCTCACCTACGGATTCTTTGAGAGAGGTGACTCTACCCTTGAAGGATCCAACTGCCTCGATGGCCGAGCTCAACCGTACTCTGTTACCCCGTACCATAGATCCTCCATGTGCCTCGCAGATGGCGAAGCCCGACTCCGCCGCACCACCGCAAAGGCACGACGCTCAATTGAAACTTTACGTATTCGACAAATTGTCTTCGTCTGAAGACAATCTATAATAACTTCGGAGACGAAAACAATCGTTAAAAATCGCGCGTTAAAAGGTGGTTAGCCAAATTTTCCGTTTAAACTAAAGAGCGTGTCTCGAATGGGATTGAATGAATTTAGGCTATACGATTTTCGAAACTCGAAGCGGAATTATCCTTATCGAAGTCGTCGAATATCCGCCCTCGTGCAGCACCTTTTTTCCGAAACTTAGTACTTCAGTGCTTACAGTGTTGACAGTGGGGTAGAGACGGAAGTGTACAGCCCGAGAATGCTGACGCTTTCTTATGTACATAATTATTGTATCTGTGATGTTATTAAATAAACTTTACCATATTTAAACAATATTTTCGACTTTCGATAATATATATTTTTGCATTAATTTATCACAAACTAACTGCATATGCATGTTTATGAGTTATTCTAGACTTTATTTGAAAAATATTAGCAATATAGCTGTAAAAGAAATTCTTTAGCACCGCTGATAAAGTTTCAGATAAATGTGTTTATTTTTACACGATTATTGCCGTCGATAAAATCACGCTCGGGAATATCGATAGCAGCGATTCTAGCGCCGCTATTTCGAGTCACGGGTATTGCAACGACATCTGGATTCCGTCAGCTCGATTCCGCTGCCATATCGATCGGTTGATCAGTGTCGCGCGTGTCGCCGAAACGTTTGGTCTGATAGCTCTTGCGAGAACAACGTCGGTGGACGGGATCGTGTGTGAGTGTGTGAATCATAGAAGCGGAAAAAGTGGTTTGTGTTTCTCGCGTGGCGGTAAGGTCGAACGTGAAGTGTTGAGTGATTGGCGAAACTCGGGTGGAAACGAGCATCCATGCGGAAGCGGAGCCCGGCTTCCGCTCCGGCGAATGCCGTCTAAAATGCCGACACGCTGCTATGTAGCGCCGGCAAAAGTGTGTAAATGAAGCGGCGGCGTATACCGCGCTCGCGTGCCGTGGGGAGGGTATCGTCCGCTGTAACCGCGGCAGCAGCGGCGGCAGTGGCGGCGACGTCCGCGGGGGCGATGGGAATGGCGCGCAAATGCTGCGTGCGTAGCTGCGAGGCGGACGTGCGGGAGGCACGCGCCAAAGGACTGCCGCTGCACAAGTTTCCCAAGGACGCCGCGTTACGGGACAGGTGGTTGGCTAGCGGCGGATTCGAGGCGAGTTTTCGACCGACGCCTGGCCAGGTCGTCTGCCATCGGCATTTTAAACGCGCCGACTACGAACCCACCCGTACTGGTCACAGCAAGTTTCTGCTCAAGCGGGGCACCGTTCCTTCGGTGTTTGCGGACTATGGCAATCATCCCGGTATGTGCAGATATTACGGCATGCTATCGCACATCTGTACGCCTCGTGTCGCGAAAGCGAAGTGGATGTTGTCAGGTGTAAAACGCAACGTAGTTGCTTCGGCGCATCTGTCTCTCTCTCCTTCCCACCTTCGCCTTTCTCACCTCTCTCTCTTTCTCTCTCCGTCACATTTCTCCGCCATGTATTCCCGCTGTAATCTCCCCTCTTCTCCGCGTGTGTGACTCGATTCGTCGCATCGTGCTCGATGCCTCACGCGCCAGCTTCGAGTTTTGCCGAGCCGCGCTACGTCGCGTGCTATGCTGAGTTTTGTAAATCATGCTTCTCGCGTACGACAATGCCGATATGTTTTTATGGAGTATCGCATTGTTGTTCTGTATCACGTTGTTTAGATACTCGCTATAATAATTCATGCCGGTTGAATGTCTTTGGCACTCTATTGTTTGCTGACACAAGCTTGACATGCCGGCAAAGCGTTATTTTAATTCGTGCACACATATGTACACTTATGTACAATTATATAACATGTACAATTATGATTCTGAAAGCACTTATTATTTTAAAAACACTGTTTTCTGCATATATGGCAATTGTATCTGTTTATCTTTACATTTGCATTCGATCGTTTTTCATGGAAATTTAAAATATGTTTTTCTCACATATTCTTACTTTTGCCATGTTACTTTTAATATCATAAAATAATTTAAAATAATGATTAAAATTAAAAGCTTTGTGTAAAATAATAGAATTTCTTTAGACATTTGTCGTATTTTGGTTAATAAAATATTGTATAAAATAGATCATAAATAAAAATTGTATATAAATGTTTTGTATATGTAATTAAAGACGAATTATTTTAAATATTTTTTTTCAGATCCTATTATTATATCAGTTAAATCTTCTACATCATATGCACAAGAAGATTTGGACCTAATAAATTCTGAAATATTAAATTTGGAACAATCTGTCTCACCATTACTGTCAGAAGTAAGAACACCTAAATCCGACAGTTGCGGTGAAACCTGTTACTCCAGACCTGAATCCTCTGCAGATTCTTTGAATCTTGCTGATAGTTCGGAAGTAGTGGATAATGAATGCAAAATGACAGCTCTAAAAGAAGATACATCAGTGACATCAGTGAAAGACAAATCTGTTGATAACTCAGATAGTAAAGTGAATACAGTAGCAATGCAACTTGGAATTGTGGAATCAAAAACAACAATGAAGACCAGTGCCAAAGATCTAATAATAAAGGAGGAATTAAAAGGCATTAAATTATCCGAAGACAAGGAGTTTGATAAATCAGAGGGATTAAAACCAAAAATTTTAAATCGTGATGGTTTAAATTTTTACCCTGGTGCCAAATTGGAAGCAAAAGATTTTAATGATATATGGCAAGTGTTATTGAATAGAATGTCAAAAAATATTAAAGAAAAAATAAACAGTTGTTATGCAAAATAACAAATTTGAGTGTTTGCAATATTATACACACAATGTGAATTATTGATTGAAAAATCATGTTGTAGCTGGGATAAAATAAAAATATATGGATTAATATTTATAGGTATTCTGCCAAAGTGGTAGAAACTGATTGGGTGGACAGAGAAGTTTTGATACATTTTGACAAGTGGAGTTCAAGATATGATGAATGGATACCAATGGATAGCTCCAGGCTTCGTGAATTACAAACCCCACAAAAGTAAGTCAGTATTCTAATTTTATTATTAGAAATGCCCATACAGATGCATTGACAACTTGCATAGGGTCATTTAAAGTTTACTTCCTATAGTTTTCAAAAAAATAAAGATTTTATCTTGATGGATTATATCTTATCTTTCTTTAAAGCGAACAAACTTGGACTCCACCATCTCCGTAAGTGAAAATTGTTTTATTAACGAGTAGATAAAAATAACTATATCTGAACATTTTGTGGCAGTTCTATTGGTTTATGTTCCTTTAATCAATTGTGATTAACAAAAATTAAATATTAGAATAAAATTCTGTTATCACTTACAAAGTTGATGATAAATCTGCTATTAAACATCTTTTGAACGATGGAATATGCAAATAAAAAATTTATTTTTTATTACCTATGTTAATTTTTTTAATGTAAATATTTTGTAAAAATGAAAAAATTATTTACTATTGCCGATATTAATGAAACACAGATTTTCCATTGTTTTTTTTTTTTTTTTTTTTTTTGGGTTATGCAATATGATGCAATACTTATACATTAGACTATATTTCCTATATATTGTTTGACAAGAACAGGCAATGTATTATTATTTATTTTCATTAATATATTTTATAGTGATATATAGATTATTTTACATTAACAATTATTATGTCTAAATGTATCAAAGTAATTTTTCTACTGAGATTTTATCCAATTAAAGAACATCGAATCTGTTATGTGCGGTAATTAATTACATTAAACTTTGACAAATGAGCTATGAGGCGAAGTTATTTCCCAAAAGAAAATCTGAATTGCAGGAAATTTATATTTTTCTCTTGTCCTTATTGTAGTTTTCAAGTTTTTTCATTTTGTCGATTTTTCTATGTTGTATTAAATTCGCGCGTAATTCGTGAATTTCGTATCTTCAGGGAAACAAAAATGAAAGAATTTTCAGTAGGAGAAAGGATACTTGCTACGTGGGCGGACGGTAGAAAATATCCGGCCAAAGTGAATGCAGTCTTGACGAATGGTAAGCGACCTAACCCTAACCCAAGCTTAACTGCGAGTAGAAAAGAGACAGGCTGCGTCCCGTAGATTACCGTTTGACGTTTGCTTTACGATATATATGTAATCTTTTTTTTATCACAACGGAATAGAACATTTCGTAAATTGTTCTAAGTAAATCTTTTTCGTAGATAGGTACGATGTATTGTTTGATGATGGATACGCGAAGATCGTCAAATCATCGAAAATGACCAAAATCACTGAAAATCCAACCAAGGTAGGGATTCTTTAATTGAGGTTATGTTGTTGTTTCTTGGTAACTGCAACTTTGAGGAAATCTCATCTAAATTTATCAAGCAATGCTTTTATTTGTGTTACCTTATATTATTTTTTAACTGTTATTTCAATCAATTATGAAAGTATGTAAAATAATATTGTAATAAAAATTTAAAACAAACTCTATTGCAAATGGAATTTTTACATTGAGATTTCCACATGTATCACATAAGATTCACATTAATGGTGCATTTACTAATGTAAATTATTTTATTTATTTTACTTAAATAGCAATTAAATGAATTGGATGGATACATTGGCAGCAAACAAGAAAGAAGGGATAAGAAACGAAAGCATACAGTTATGGAGTTGTTCAATACTCATTCAAGAAGACGAACGAAAACTGATCCTGACAAAGCAATAAAAAAGGAAGATCCTGTTGCTAAAGAGAATGGAGAAATCTCTACCGAGAGTAAGCTCAAAGTTGACGGGACTCTATTTGATCCTTGCTACGACCCGGGAACAGATTTATTAAGAGGCTTTGATGCTAACCCTTCCAAAATCAAGTCCTATCCGAAAAAGACCAAAAAGGAATTGCCAAAAAATGACACAGATCATGAAGAAGATGTTGGTCCTGAATGGGTCGATGGAGAACCACAAGGAATGGAATCTTATATAGTAGATGGTAATGACGGTGAGTCATAGTATGGGTGTATGGGTTTAGAGGTTTAATGTAACCATTTTTTTTTTGTACTTATTTAAAAACATAATATTTCATAATGTTTTATTAACATATAATAAAGAAGTTTATATTTTTTAGGACCACGCCGATCTATAATAGTGCCAGACAAAAGGTTGCCTGTAGGTTGGGAAAAACATTTTACTCAAAGGAAAACTGGTTCATCTGCTGGGAAGTGGGATGTTTTGTTCATACAGTAAGATAAAAGATGTAATTTTACTTGCAGTTATTACGAAGTAATACAATTTGTACATGATTATATTTTTCTTTTAAAGTAAACCGACTGGCAAGAAATTCAGATGCAGAAATGACATCAGAGTGTTCATGGAGAATCAAGGACAATATGACTTTGATCCTGAAAGATTTGACTTTTGTATACACCGAAGAAAACGGAAAAATGTGAAACAGGATGTTACACCAGAAGCACCAAAGAAGATTAAAACTTTGTTACCTAAAACGAAAACATCCACACCTGAAGGCACGTTACCGACCACAGCGACGAGCGGTATCGATGGTCCATCTGTTTCGACGTCTACTCCGTCTACTACTGATGGTGGTAAGATTTTTGCAGTATATTATACTCTAAGTCATATCACATTTTAATCATTGCAATATGTCTTTCGCACTCCACTAATTTATCAGAGATGATCTATTGTAAGTACTTGTAAATTGTGTATTTTTTAAATTTTTTATAAATTAAAATTGATTTATAAAATTAAGATTTATGAAATTAAAATTGATGATGATATTATTATTATTATTATTATCATTATTATTATTAATTAATGTAATTGTAATAATAGAAATAAGGAAATTAATGCTTCATAACGTAATTTATTTATATTCATAATTTAATTTATTTATTATTATTTTCAAATAGCCGTTTTCATCGGACTTTGTGGTGGACTTCGTGTAGAAATGGAAGACAGCGCTTATAAATGTCCCAAGGAAGGGTGCAATAAAAATTTTCGAAAAGAAAATTTGTTGCAAATGCATATTAAGCATTATCATCCTGAATATTCCAAATTTCTGGGATCTACTCCAAAAGTTGAAGATTTGGCTTACGCAAGAACTACGGGGGAATCTATAGAAGACATTATTCCAAAGAAATCAACGACATTTTTGGAGAAAGTAAACAAATTTGGGAAGAAGAAATCTCCTGCGGAAAAGGCATCGCCCGTTTTATTACAGTCAACACTAAATACAACGCAACCGACGTCCCCCTCAATATCTGGTCCAATAATACCAGAATTAGAAGAGGAAATGGATCAATCGGAAAAGTGTAATGATTCGAAAAAAGAAGATATGAAAATTGAAACAATGTCTCCGATGTCTATTCACAGTGCAGAGATAGACGACGATGTTGAGAAGAAAAAAGAGAATGTTTGTGCGTTGTCTCCTGGTACATTATTCGACATGAAAGTGAAGGAAGAGCGAGCGCAAAGTGGAATTAAGACGCTATTACCTGTAAGATCATCTGCAATGTCAGAAGTGCAAAGAGTTGACAGAAAATCTTTGGATGAAACGGTACACGTTGCGAAAGGCCCAAAAAGAAGACAACTCTCCGAACATAATGTAGACTTCTCGGTTAAAACAAAGAAACGACACGGTTAATATTTTATATTTACTAATAAACTTGCTTTCGAAGATAACTTCTAAAATTTCAATTTAATTTAAGAATATAAATTAAATTAATGCTACATTACATTTGTTTGGTCGAATAGGTATGTCTGACCTTACTGACGGTTTCGGTGATTTAGACGACAGTGCTATGGATGTTGAAGGACCTATGGCACTCATGTATAGATACAGTCGTAGAAAATCTGATTCAAAGAGCGATGAAAATAGTCAAAATAGTGAGTGCAAATGTTTTGACGAAACCTTTGAAGCAATACGTTATTAGCAATTGTTTACGTTGGCTTAAATAAGCTTTTCTTCTTTATTTAATTACACAGCTAGATAAATGGGATCCTTTATTGCAAAATGAGTTTGATAATATTTACTGTTTTATATTATTTTTGTTGTTTCTTAGGTCAACTAAATGATTCTCGCATTGAGAAAGGTGATCCCTCAAAAGGGGATACAATCAAATCAGATATTAATAATGATACAGAAGGTATTATTAATTTTTTTTTATCTTTTATTGTTTGCTTTATAATTTCACTACCGCTGATATTATTTCTTCTGTGTTATATTTTATTTTATATGCTTAGAAAAAAAATGTATATATGTTTAGTGATGTATATGTGTGTATACCTTCTATGATATACATCTCTCCAATATAAACCTTTTGTACACATTTTTTATATAATTGTTGATGACTTATTAGAGAGTGAAGGTGTGATGATGATGATCAATGGCGAATTAGTGAAAGTGGAACAACTTCGGAAAGAAGAAATAATAAATTGCACATGTGGCTTCATGGAAGAAGATGGTTTAATGATACAGTGCGATCTTTGTCTTTGTTGGCAACACGGTCACTGCAATGCGATTGAAGGAGAAAAGGATGTTCCTGAAAAATACATTTGTTACATATGCAGGCATCCATATCGGGAACGGCCCTCTAAGAAATACTTTCACGATCAGGATTGGATAAAAGAAGGAAAGTTACCAAGGTAATTTATTGATATAAGACTTGTATATATTATATATAAAACGTATTGTAGAAAACATATGTACGTAGCAATTTTTGAATTTACAGTTTGCCTAGTCGAACACGGAACCAATATATGATAAATCAAAGAACTGCAATGCTGAAACGTTCGTACGACTTGGTTGCCGCGCTTTTACAAGTACAACAACTTCTTCATAGTCTACGCGTAAAAATTAACGTGGCTCAGTAAGTAATATGTATATGCATATGTAGTATGCACATTTACTTGTTCATAACAATTATATCTGCACGATGAATAACTTGTGTGAATTTATATAGGAAAAAGGATCATCCTAAATTATATCTTTGGGCAAAGAATTGGGAGAAAACGGATGTACCAAAGATAGATGTAGAGCCAGTGCCTGTAATGGAAATAATAAAACCAGAAACTGTTTCTACCGATACGAGTTCGGAGATTTTGCGACGTACCGAGGTGAAAACGGAAACCAAAGTGTCTGTAAAAGATGATCAAGATGCAAAATCAATCGCCTCTGATTCGGAATTGATGAAAATTTTGGAAGAGGATAGTACACATTCTGACGAATCTAGAATTATTAATAAGAGAGAAAGCTTGATAAATTCGAAGGATAGTCACATACTTTTGGACGCATTAACAAGTGGCAACTCAGACACAAAAGAAAGGAACATTTCATCAGACATTAAAATGGAGAGCACAGGTACGTAATGCACTAAAAAAGATGCAGTTAAATCCTTGATTTTTCTAGCACGCAAAATTAGTTACAACTTTTATTCTTGGTTCCAATTTTTGGCATTTGAGCATACATATAATGCAAAACAATTTTTATTTATGCTCTTTCACAATCATGTTGCGAATATAAGTAGATGAGTTATAGGTTGTTTATAGCAGAAAGTCAATTTTATCAAGTATTTCACCATATTATTAAAGTCCTTTTTTTATATATAGATTTGCTAGCTGAGAAAACTATGATCGATAATCCAACATCAGAGAATCTCAACTCGGGATCGTTTATTGATAATGTTCAACGGGAATCAAGCATAGCTGATGTTGAAAATGACGTCTCTGCCCTTCTGCAACCTTTTATACCAGAACCTGAAGCACCGATTGATCCAACCGAATGCCGAATGAGATTATTGGAACATATTGAACATTTTCAATGTCACATTGATTCAAGATTAGCATCCATAGAAACGCAAATTTGTGGTACGTAACCAGAAAAATATTAAAAAGAAGTGTTTAAAAAATAAGCGATTTATTATGTGTGCGATTTATTTTATTTTATGCGCAGCTCTTGAAATGATGGATTCGGATGAATTTGAACCAGACCCTCGTGTTCAGCCCCGCACTAAACAAACGGTTCAGATGCTTCTTCGTGATTTGAATACGATTCGGAAGTTAGCAGCGCTGTGCTGAAGACATCAAACTCGTCGAACTTGCATAAACATATATATATACATATGTAGATAAACAATGTATGTAGTATCAAAGAATAATATTTCTTATATGAGGTTGAATCAAGCAAGAATGAGAATTATTTTTAAGCCTTGTTACAATTATTGAATGAGAATTATTTAGCCACATTTAATGCAGTTTTATTAGAAATTTGTTTAAATTATTGACACTGGTTCAGAAACAGAATTGATTGCTTTTATTTTCGTTAAATTTAAGTTCTGATTAACTTAGTCTAAAAGATAATTATCACTCAATAATTATATTCTTTAAACTTTGAGAGATTAAATAAGAAAGGGGAATATGTGAACAAATAATGTCTAATTTAAATAATAATTCATACAATGAAAGCTATAAAAATAATTCTCGTTTTTGTTTGATTCACTCTTGTATTTATGTTACCAAGAGATCTTACTCTAATATAAGATAAAATTCGGCTTTTCAGCCTTAAAATAATTGCTAACACACAAATGATTAAATTATGTTATTGTTAAGAGGGAAAAGTATGATATTTTTTTCAAATCGCTAATGTATTTATATATATGTACATACACTTAGTGACGAGTGATAATATAGTCCAATTTGTGTTTTTAATATTTGTTAGCATACATTTATAAAGACTATTGTTAAGATCTGGATATTTTTCATAGTTCTACAGCAAACATTTTAAGAGTTGAAATATGTACAAACTAAGAAAAAAAGGAACAAAATTTTCTTCTGCATTTGTATTAAACAAATTTAAAAATCTATATACCTATTATAAAATTTATTTCTTTAAAGAATTTATTCAAATTTTTATATTATTTCAAATATATGACATTTATGATAATTAGTAATGCTTATGTTCTTATAATTTAAATATACTGAAATGAACGATTAACTTCCACAAAAGGTTGACAAAAGGTATTGAAAAAATGTTCGAGGAAATTTTTAATTAGATTTTTTTACAATTATATAAATATATGAAACTTCAAAGTTTAGATTATGAAGATTTAATTCATAATTATATTTGATTTTGACAATAAATTTTCAAAATAATTAGAAAAAGTAAATGTCACATATCATTTTAAATTTCTTCGCAAATGCTGCATAAAAACAAAAATATTTAAAGTTGTTTACTAGCTGTTTACGAATGCAAGTTATGCAACAGTTTACAACAGTAGCAATCGTTCCAAAATAGCAATCGATAGTGCTGCAATCTTCAGTTGTACCCACGAATCCAATTCCGTCTTTCAAAAAATCTCGAAGTTCGACCTCTTAGTAAATAGTAAGTTTCATGACCAACGCGGATCCTTGGGTGTGCGCGGTGTGCGGTGCCGTGTCGCCATGTTGGTTTAGCCCAGCGGCTGACGTCAGCGGGCGCGTAGCGGTGTGCAATCGCACGAACTACAAAGACGGATAAACGGAGGCAGTGGATGGCACGCTCGAGGTGCGTCAAAGCTTGAGAAAGAAAGAAAAACAGAGAGAAAGAGAGAGAAAGGGAAAAGAGGCGTGCGCGATTCGCGGCCGTGGCGGTGCACAGTGGTGCAGTCGTCGACGGGCGGAAAAGACAGGACATAGTGTGTGGGCTCGGCTCGGATTCTCCCGCATCCATTATGATACAGTAATCTCCTGCAGCGCTAGGCGCTTTGCGTCTCCGGCACATTCGTTGTCTCTTCTATCAGGCAGAGACGGAAAGCAAGAGAGAGAGAGGGGGCGAGAGAGAGGGAGTACGTGTTAAATCGAACTCTTGACGCACCCTTCGCGTTCGTGTGTGAGAAAAAAAGTCAAGAGAGGAAACGAAACGCGCGATGGAGGCGCGACGCTGCTGTCCGGTTTGACCGCTAGACGGCCCTCCGGTGTATCTCTGCTCGTTGGATCGGCAGACTTGTTAGGTGTGTTCGCGCGCGCCATGTGCCGTGCCGTCATCACCGTTCCGCGTGTGTTTCCTCCTTGTGGATCATCGTCGCACGTATCATCCGCGGTTCGATAAGCGCTCGCCGCGTTAGCCACGCGCTAGTTCGTCATCCGCGATTCATCCCGGATTAGTGTGCTTCATTTATCGGTGCTTCGCGAGATCCTCTGTGTTCTGTTCTGTTGGTGTTGGTGCGAGGAGTGAATCGAGTTGCGCACTTTTCCTTTTCTCCACCCTTGTATTTTTGTCCGCGAGTGTGTCTCGCGCGAGTGACAAGCCATAGTGAAAAGCGCGAAGAAGGGAGAAACAGAAAGATAGAAAGGAAGTAGCAGTCGAAGAAGAGAAAAAAAAGAGCAAGAGCGCATAGCAGAATCGCTCGTCGGTGTTTCGGTGAGCTTCACAAACGAGCGAGCGTGCAAGAGAGATAACACGAGTGGCGTATCAAGATGGCGCATAATTTGGCACCGAGCGTCAACTGCTCGCTCGACGACATTGACCTGAACGCGCTGAAGGTATGTAAATACGAGGATTATTCGCGACAAGTTTGCACGTAGCCAAAAGTCGCGCATCGCGTGCGGAGCCGCGTTGGTCCGACGACCCTGCCTGTCTGGTGTCACGCGCATCTTATTATACGTGGTGATTAACCTCGCGAAAACCAACGATGTCGATAACGACGACAATATTGAGAAGAAAAGGAGGAAGAAGTTCTCCTTGAATTCTGTCCTCTGTTTATTGGTATTTGTCATTAATATCGCGCTTTCGTCACAATGTCGGAAAAATCGAACGATTGACTCTCGAATGCGTTCTCGCAGATTGTCAGTATTGTCGGAGCACAATTGTTTCAATACTTTGCAAACGATATTGAAATAAATTAGACAATAAAATCAATCTTATTCGTATATCGGAAGATTAATTTTGCTTTCAAATGTTTGTTTGTCTCGTGAAGATTCAGCATCGAAATTTCGGTTTATCGATTTTGGTAACACTATTGACAGTAAATGTCAAATATTTCATATGTCAAATATTTCATATGTCAAATGGCAAATGTCAAATATTTTTTCGATTATAATCACATAGATTTGTTTTTTTAATCATAGCTTATTATATATCGCAGAAAAATAAATCGAAAAAGATCAATCTATTTTTATCTCGAGTTTTATTCTTAACATCAATTATTAATTTTTACAAAAATGCAACAATCTCTCTCTCATAATACAAAGTTAAATGAAAAAGTTGAAGCTTGATTAAAAAAAAAAGTAAAGTTGGCTGAAAATTAAGGGTGACTTACATGTAATTTAATTGCAATTTTCACATAAATATCAATATTTTTTGTTCATTCTATACTCGTCTTGTATTTTTTATATGATTTAATATCACCATTGACTTTTAAAAATGGCTGATCATTGTATTTTGTCTTCCAAAGTATTTTATGTTTTATTAGATTCTGTACAAGGAAGATATTGAGTGTATTTTTTTTATCTGGCAGAAGATAAATTAAATCGTTACAAGATAAGCAGCGTGGTCGCATTGGTCAAATATATCCGAAAACTTGTGTGAACGTTTTCTATTTACTATTGATACTATCGCGTGTTAAGAGTCAGATAACTTTATTCTTCAAAATATTAGTTATCATCCAGATAAGTCTAAAATAAGTCTTCTAGAAAAATTAGAACTGTTCAAGTCAAAATTTCGATCGCCTTTTTGTAACAAGCGAAAAAATTGAATTGACAGTTTACTCGATGATTATGACTTAATGAAAAAATTATTTTATTTCTCGAGGATTAATTAATTATTTATATTTCAGGAGCCCGCTGGAATTTTTGAGCTGATAGAAGTAGTCGGCAATGGAACATACGGCCAAGTTTACAAAGTGAGTGTACTGAAAATTCTTAGTCTCGCATAGCGATATGTACACAAAATAATTTGCATTTTCTCGTAATCACATTATGCGTCGTAACGTTACACGAAGAATAACTGCGTAACCTTTTTAATATTATTTAATATTTAGCAAAATATTTTCATAATATTATTTTTGTCATTCGCCAATTCTGTTACGCATCTCTACGCTTGAATGCATTTCGTTAATTATCGATTTCACTATAACGCAACCTTTTCTGAGGTATTTTAAATCAACGGGTAGGTGTCAAAATAGAACAAAACAAGTAGAACAAAAACAAGAAAATGCACAATATAATAAAAATATAACACAAACGGATTCTCTTTGCATATTTGAAAATTTCTAACGCATATCTAGATAATTTTCGTCTAATTCCTTTTTAGATAAACGAATATGCTACATCGACGTCATCTATCATGAGTATTGTAATCGCAAGGTTATAACTTTTCAGTAAAATTATTTATGTTGTTATGCCATCAATATGTCTATAATGAATTCAGAAACATTTTCCACGCGAATTTCCACACGAGTCTAATTTTCATGCATATATCAGTTATCGTACTTCCCGTTAGTAATCCATAATTTCTTATCTGCCAGGACCCATGTGTGCATGTTATCGCGAGTCTCGCATCCTGTAGAAATCTAAACTCACACTTGCGTGCCGCGTTACGCACGTGGGAAACTTTCGTGTTTCAGACGATAGCGTAGCGTTGCATTCTCGTGCGATATACTCGTGCTCGTTTTACGCCTCTGCGTACAGCTCCTTACGATAAACATTTTCTTGTCGCTGCATAAAAAGAAGATAATGGTTTCTCCTTTGTATCGAGAAACTGGCCTGCGACTGAATCGGCAAAACTCAGAAGTGGCATGAGTCACATGGCAGGAATTCCTATGGCAGATAAAAAACTTTCTTTGTTTAATGCAAGTTGTTTCAGTGCTTGTCAGTTCCAGTTTGACATTATATGAAAATTAATGCTACTTCTCTGTAGCGTTATTTCAAATTCCAAGTCTTTCACTCCGCTCATTGCAAAATGATTTAAATGATTCTAAAGAACCATAAAGAAAATAACAAGCCATTTGTAAGAATTACAGGACATTGCGCGACACAGATAATGTACCTCCCTTCTCTCTCCGGACATAGAAAGATAAACGTACCCGCGATCGCGAGTTGTTTGTTGCCAAGGGGGAGGGATAGGTCTTTCTCTCACCTGTAACAGAGAGCGGAGGAGACGGTGATTCACTTTGGAAAAATTCTCCTTGACGAGGTCGTTCTTATGAGAATATCTTGATGCGAAAAACGGTCATGTGCAAGAGACAGAGAGAGAGAGAGGTCAAGAATCCCGCGCGACCGGAAGGAGATATATAATGTCATTAACGTGGCTAGAAAAGAATAAGCTTCTATTTCAATGGAATTGACAGTCTTTGTAATAAACAAGTCACGAAATCAAATATGAGCCTGTAGTAAAATGTAAAAGTATATTTCACATTTATTTGATATCAAACTTGAATGTGTTTCGTGTAACTTCTTTGAACAAATAGCTAGAAGTTGCTAACAAGTTACTAATTTTGTTCTTCAGAAATTTCTCGAGATTTAATATTAAAACAGTTTTATCAAAACGACTAAAATTTAAATGAGAGAAATAGCGAGAGATGCAATGAAATATCTATAACTACATGTGGTGCAATCTGTGAACATAAAATATTGTTATTAAAAAATGAGCTTTTGTATGAGCGACGGACGCTCGGAGCTCGTGTCGTCATTTAATTAATTTGGATAAGCAAGAACGGGAAGCAATTTTCACTTTACATCGCGGTGGGAGACGGTAAACGGTACAGCGAGAGATATTATCGGAGGCACAGCGGCACCCGTGTGTTCCCTCTCCCGCGAACACGACATTAAAATGAAAGTTGTTCTAGCACAATTAATTCATGTTGTCCGTGCGATTCAAGACGATGCGGCTGTATTTAACGCACTCATTCGCGCCTCATTCGTAACGATTGGCCTACTTCGCGTGATCTTGTAGTAGAAGAAACTCGTGCGAAATTACGTGTACATCTGGACGTGTACATCTTTGCCTAAGGAAAGATGTCTAAATAATTTGCCTAAAAGAACGTTGAAAATTTCACGCTAAACTTGTCTCTATCGGTCGAAAGATGCATTTCGCGTCACATTCGCGTCGCACAACTCTCCTCTACCTTCCTTCTCGCTCTCGCGGTCTTTAAACGCTTTACTTTCGGTGCTATGCGCAGAGATAGAGAACGAGGGGGAAGCGGAGGAAGAGGGCGATGACCCGTTGCTGCCGATGACGGCACAGAATGGGCCGAACATGCATGCGTGTGCGGCAACGACGAATGTACGCGCTATCTCGTACGAATATCGTACTGTCTCGTTTATCGGAATCGATGATAAAGCTCGACGAAATTTAAGAAGAATCTGATTCAGCGTCGATTAATCTTTTACGTGTCTCTTTGTTTTCGTAAGAGATACAGTCCGATTGAATCATTCACCGATGATTTTTTTCCGCATTGCTAATCGTAGCGAAAGATAAAATCGATTTTTCCAAGTTAAAATAATTCTCAGATTCTATATGTAATTATTTCAATGTTTTTTAAAACTTATCTCTCTCCCACTTTTCTTTTTCAAGGGTTATTGATCTGAATTCCACCGACGCTTGTTGATAGTTACGGCATGAATTGCATCAAATTATTGGAGTGGTTGTCTGACAAGATGGAGAAACTCGTGTTGAATTCTTTCAAGTATGACACAGTAATTCTTTCGATAAGGAGGCCAAATCATAGAGCTACATTCCACGCGAGCTCAGTGATGAAATGTAGTATACGTGCTCTGTTTTGTGAATGGTCACATTTGTGCAATATTTATTGCAATTAGGTTTTATTATGTACAAAAATATATTACTTCTTTACGAATGTGATATTAATGAAAGACAGCAATTGGACGATGTTAGCGAGCAATCTCGAAAATAGTCTCTCGCCATATGGATGGTTCAGTCGAATGCTTTTTATAATTCAAACGTCATTTCCGGACAATCGATTTGTACCGCTCGTTAGTCGAGACTGCTCAATCTGATGATTTCCACCTTTGATTTTCTTCAGTTTTTGTTCGCGCTGACACGACTAATCAGAAAACGGTTTCGTCATTTTCCTTTATCGACGATGCATTTTCCGGAATGTCACATTCATGCGTAATGCGCAGCTGGACTGAGCTGGACTGCACAATATCGCGGACTACAATTCTTACGTGTCCGAACTTCTTAAAGAGGCTGGAAATTGAGATGTTGAAGGAAAATTTTCCTGCGTGGCGTGAGAAGATTTCTCCGCAATTCGAGCTTCTCGCGTTGCGCATTTGATCGTCCCGTTCTGCATCGAAAACTTCTCGGTTCTGCACGAGTCAAGTGACGTTTCTATGTAGGTGGAGGATTCAGTGGCGGAGCGAGAGCGGCGTAGTCACTCGCTTTTCTCGCCGTGTAGCGAGAGACACGTGAGACTGTAGCTGATTCTCTTTTGAGAATGGATAGACGGTCGAGACGTCGGCGGCGCGCCATGCCTCTGAATATTCTCTCTCTCTCTTTCTCTCTCGTCGCTTTGTTGTTGGAAAAAAGGCTGCATACATAAAGCGTGCGGTGACGCTTTTTCCGCCGCATACACATCACCCCGCCCCTATCCCTTAGCCGGCTGGGGAAAATGAGATGCTTAATGGGGGGAGCGTTCTGTTTCGCGCCGTGTGCGTCATTTTTCTTTTAATAATTCATTTAATACCTGATTGGGACGGGGAAAAGCGTACGGGTGGTCTTTTTGCGTGACAGCTAAAAGGGTAAACGACGAGAGTGGGTAGCATAAATAAATGTAACTTGTGCGTGGAATATGTTGTGAAAGGATATTCAGCCGATAACTTTAACTTTAGGAGATGACGTTACGAGATAAGTTTAGAAACGCAAGGCGAGCTCTACTCCGTTATTATCTCAGCGCTTTAGGGGCCTATGTGTATTTAACGGGCGATAATGACAATGCACTTTTCTGCTCCGCAGGGTCGGCACACCAAGACCGGTCAGCTGGCGGCCATCAAGGTCATGGACGTCACAGAGGCAAGTATTCGGTTGCACGGGTCGCGACTTAATTGCCGCTTTACTTCAAAGATCAACGATACAGCGTACGGCTTCGCCATTGAAATCGGGACTGCGATCGCGATAATTTTCTCGGAAAGAGTTTCATGAGAGAGTGAAACACGACGGTGATGATTCGTACAAGTCGGCTTTGTGAAGCGCGGTTTATTGGCGCATGGGAAGGCTCCTTGCGTTTCAGAAAAATAGACGCAATGTCGACGCGTCCGCAACCGCAGATAGATAAGTTTTTATCAGCAACAGACACATGAAGAGGCTGCGTATACGATATACGGAATCATTTCTGGAATCATTATCGTGTATTGTTAAAGCTGCTGATAAAGCACAAAGACCATTTCTATGAATCTGCAAAACGACTGTGATTTCGATATGTCACGATTCCCGCAATCTATAATGCGTTACATTATCAAAAAAACCGTAAAGAATGTTTCGAATCTCGCAAATGTTCTTTTAACGATAGATTCTCTGATCAATTTGGAGATGAAAAATATGAATTTTCTGCACATGTACAGCAGTGCGGTTCTTTTTTTTTTTTTGTTATCATCATCGTCACATTTAGCTCGTAAAGAGACGGTTTTACAGTTAGTTACGTGAATCATCATGCAGTGATATTTATCTAATGGAATATTCCCGGTAAACAGGTTCTTCTCATGCTTATTTTTCTATTTATATCCAAAACGACAGTCATGGTGTTAATATTACCGTTACCACATCGCGTTTGCAGCCATTCTTTTACGCGCAAAGTCGATCAAATCTGCGGAAGACACGTCAGAATTTAATGATACGATTGTAATCGCATATCTCCGTGCGTCTTCTCCCTCTATCTTGTTCCAGCGAATAACCCCTCTTCTCTCTCTCTCTCATGTAACGCGCGAGTAAAACCTCGACTCTACTTACCTACTTAACGAACTGCTTTTCTACGCAGTTAAATGGAATTTTCACATTCTGATTTTTTTTTCACAGTTAATATATAGCTTGAGTTTACGTTTCTTGTTTTAACAATAGAACGACTAGTTAGAAACGCGACAATGTGCGAGATACTTGAAAAGTTTTATAATATTCTACTAAGCCAACTTTTCATGTCAAACAATTGCTCAAATGTCCACAAGCAAAATTTAAAGTAAATTATATATAAAACGATATGTATGTCATATAAATAATATGTAATTGTTTTTTCGATACGTGGAAAGATAGAAAGAAAAGAAGCATTTGATATAGACACAATATCTTTTCTAACGAGCTGTTTATCATTGCAGGATGAAGAGGAAGAAATTAAGTTGGAAATAAACGTACTCAAGCGGGTATGTACAAATATCTTAGAGCGCGCCGGGTCATTGATAGAACAAACGAATACAGATAAACCTTTTTGTGTTGTAGTACTCAAATCATAGGAATATAGCCACGTATTACGGTGCCTTCGTAAAGAAGTCATCACCCGGCAAAGACGATCAATTATGGCTGGTTATGGAGTATTGCGGAGCAGGCTCCGTTACGGATCTTGTCAAGTCAACGAAGGGTCAGAGCTTGAAAGAGGAATGGATAGCCTATATTTCGCGAGAAATTCTGAGAGGACTTAGTTATCTTCATAGCAATAAAGTTATCCACAGGGATATTAAGGGACAAAATGTCTTACTGACTGATAATGCGGAGGTCAAACTCGGTAAAATCAATTTGAATGTTGATTGTTAGATCGGTGCAAAAAACATTCGTTACATTTATCGCATAAAGTTGAGAACATCATGTAATTTCGAAGTTAATTTTGTCACGATAAATTATTTATTACGACAAATCGTTTAACCTTGTTGCGCTTTTTTCATCTATTTGAAAGAACTCGATTGATAATATTTTATCTAATATAGAATCTCTTGCACCAATCTAATGTATCTTTATTATTCTGACATTACTCGCATTAATTGTCTTGTTGTATTTTTAGTTGATTTCGGCGTTAGCGCACAATTGGACAGAACGATAGGTAGAAGAAACACGTTCATTGGCACACCTTACTGGATGGCTCCAGAAGTTATCGCTTGCGACGAGAATCCAGACGCGACTTACGACAATAGAAGTGACCTTTGGTCGCTCGGAATTACCGCTTTAGAAATGGCTGAATCACAACCTCCTCTCTGCGATCTGCATCCCATGAGAGTGAGTTTTCTGCAGTAATTTTAATCGTATTTTCATAACGTGCAATAAAAATTTTGTATTTACATTTGTATATCGCTACATCGTCCTAACTTGTCAAACAGGCCTTGTTTCTGATTCCTCGCAATCCACCGCCGCGGCTCAAGTCGAAGAAATGGGCGAAAAAGTTTCACGGATTTATCGAAACGGTGCTGGTAAAGGATTATCATCAAAGACCTTACACAGAACAGCTCCTTAAACATCCGTTTATACGGGACCAACCTACGGAAAGACAAGTCAGAATACAGCTTAAAGATCACATTGATCGCTGTAAAAAGCGCAAACAGGAGAAAGGTACGAAGATAACGAAACCTTTTTTTTTTTTCTTCAGCTTATTTCAGGTTATATCATTGCCGTATTCGTTGTTCATTGCAGAACGAGACGACTATCGATACAGCGGCAGCGAGAACGAAGAGGATGAACCGGCATTGGCAGGCGAGCCATCGTCTATAGTTCAAGCACCTGGTGGTGATACGTTGCGTCGTAACTTCCAACAAATCCAGGAGGGTAGGACTTTGACGCAGGACGTGCCTCCTCAAGCACCCGCCGCTAAGGAGAAGCCAGGAAGCAGATCTCAAAGGGAAGTGCCGGAACCAGGACCACCCGCGAGACCCGCTATACCGCACAGACTTATAGGTAAGTTCAATGTTTTTTATAAATGAGATTTGTACAAAATACGAGACAGTCGTGTTATTCGGAAAAAATTTAATCAGTTGTGCCAGATCCACAACCACCGTCTCGCCCATTGCCTCCGACACCTCGGGACGATCCTCGGCAACCGCACAAAGTATCCACACCGCCTTCTAATCATCAAACACCTGCCGGAGGAGGTAGCGGAGGATCCGGAGGGCAGCCCGCGCCTCAAAGGAACAGTGTCTTCAAGCCTATGGTAAGTCTTTGTGAACAGACTCGCACTTCTCGTCCTAACCGACCTTTTCTAATCATCCAAACCAAATATGTTCCTCCCGTCCGTTACATTTTGCGAATAAGGATTATCACGAATAGACATAAATAAAAATGATAGATAATCAAATCTTGTAGAAAGGCATACGCTGTCGTTCCCTTTTCTTTGCAGTTTTGCCTTAAATTTGTATTTATCGATCCAAGTATATATTCTCTAACATAATGCATAGTTCACTTTGTATGTACCTCTTTTTCTATACTTGCGATATATTATATATTTTTATCGTATCCATTGCACGCGTTCTCTACTTCGCTATTGCGTCATTGACGTACACGCTGAGGCGTTCTACTACATATACACACGACACAGAAGCTCCTGGCACTCTTGAACTTGGAATGTATTTGGTTTTTGTTTCTTTTCTATGTTCACACCTACCGTAGCTGCCGCCGAAGAAACCTGAGGTAAGACGACACGCACACTTTATCTCTTTCTTACATGTATATTAACAATTCGCTTTGCCGCTTGCAGCAAGGATAATTTAATGATAATCAGTGCAAAGAATTGGCCTTCACGATGATTCACGTTGAAAGATGTTCCTCATTATTTTATTGTTAAATCTGTGAAGAATACAGCAATAATTTTTATATTTATTATATTTTTTAGAAATAATAACACTTATAAAATAGAATTTATAAAAATTAATCTAATTAAAAAGGTAAAAAATTGATGAAATAATATTTCTTGAAAAATAGCTATCAGAATAATCAATATTGTCATTCTTACATCTTAATCTTATAAAACATTATGGAAGGAATAGTAAGTTTAAATATTATTCTATAGAATACGCTGATTAATTGTTAAATTTATCTGTTTTAAATTAACAAAATACATGCTCTTCTAATGTTTTTTCGCTTCAGCACTTGCATTGTCCCGTACTACTGGGCTTTACTCCGACCGAGTAAATGGTTCTTTTTTATGTCTCAGTAGAATTGTACATGTTTAGATTTACATACACAACACGTTTGTTAGTGTTTCGAGAAATATTAACGTAACATTATTGACTTTGCGTCTTAAAAAAATATAAGCGTACCATCTACTAGTTATTTATCATTAAAATAATAGATTTATTGTTTCACATTTATAATACTCAATATGTAAGGTAATCAGAAATAGATTACCTAAATAACTTTCCTTGAAGATGCAGAATATCATGCAGAAAGAATTTTCCTCTTAGCCATTATTTTCGAACCATTTAGCATAATTTTTCTTTAATAAGAACGCCTTTTTCACCTCTCACTTCTTACAGCTTGTGTTTTTCTGTTTTTGGATAGCGAATCAGCCAGTTGTCCTGTAAGAAAAAAATTGAAATCAATTTAACGTTCCACTCAAACTTTCATTTCTATACTAACTCCGATCGAATGTAACATGTTTCATTAAACGTGTTGCGTCTGAATTGGCCATTGTATTAACATTATATTCGGAGTGATTCCGAAATAGAGCGAACTTGAGGGGAGGATATCATCTATTTCGAAATCAATCTGTTTATCTTTCATTTGAACGTCAGCAGTTTCGCTTAAAATGCACAATCTTACGTTCTTCCTCTCGACATTATCCTCGCCTTTCTGCCTTGTTTGGCTGCGTCCGGTGGTGGCTTCTAGCAAAAAGATTTCTCAAAAGGTGTCTCGGAACAGTGACTAACGGGGTTGTGCGTGTATGCGTGTGGGTGGTAGGACATGGAGATACTGGCTGCTCAACTCATCGAGCTTGGTGTGTCACAGGGCCCCGAGGCCCCGCCCAGGCCAAACAGGCAGCATAAGGGCCCTGCAGTCTCGTCTACATCGAATTCGGTGCAGCCTGCAGGTGGTAACGATCAGAACAACAAACAGATGCCGCAATCTTCCAGTATTCTCGATCAAGTAAGCGATTGGACCACGTGTGTGACCACGGTTGATATTTCGGCAGCAAAGTTCACTTTTTATGTCTGCATCCCTATATACCCCCTCGTTGTTATATTATCCCTTACGTTTTCTTTGTCTTTTTATTGCGTGAGACATGTAAACATCGCCTTGCATCTAGTCCGAGGTAAAAAGTATATACGGTGCGGAAATTAATGTCACTCGGACGAGTGCGAAAGTGACGCTCTAAAAAAACGATATATTGTTTTATCGTTCTAGGCCCTGTCGATCGAGAGCGATAGCGACGACGATGATGACGCTGGAGGGAACAACTTGAGGAACGACGGTACTTTACTCGCTAGCGATCCACCGAAGCCGCTGTAAGTAAGCGAGTTCTCGCCGCTCCCTCAAGTAATACCTAACCAATTATCGTGAATCATTTATTTGGGAATATTTGGGAATGTCAAAAATATCGCTCGCTGTTGAGATCCCATTATTGTCATCCATTGTCATAAATATACATGCATTTAAAATATTTGAGGAGCACCAGTCAAAAGTATTGTAACTGGGAATCTATAATTTTTTTATGATATTTATTATCCATTAGTTTATTTTTAAAAATGTAATTAAATATAAAACTCAAAGTTATATTTAAATTAATATGAGAAAACTAAACTTTGCTCTCTTTTTGACAGAAATTTTTGTATGTGCGATTTGCTGAAAATTTTATTACAATACTTTTATCGATGCTGTCGAATTTTCTTTGCAGTAAAAGACAAGTAATAAGTGATAACATTACGCAAAACTAATTCTTTAACGCTTCGATAATATGATAAATATGACAGGACACAGCTGTAATATATCGTATTAATCTTACTAATGTCATTTCGTTTCATCTTCCATCATGCCTATCCCACGCTTCGACATTTCATATGGTCGTCTTGGTCGCCTCGCCTCGCAACACTGGCAACGCATTACGTGTACTTCATCCGTCGTCACATCCGTCGTTCCGCCGCAATCTCTATTCCTACTGTTGCAGTCCCGAATTTTCTCCTTTCAGACCGTCGTCGGACTCGTCATCGTCATCTTCGCACACCGTTCAAAACTCCCATCATGAGGATAAGCCGAAAGGTACGAAGTCTATCTTCAAGCGTTGTTAACAACAACATCATAGGCGAATTTCGAATTACATCTCGTGTTATCTTTACAGGAGGAGCACCGAATCGTCCGCTCCCGCCAACCCCCGATGAGGAAGAATCGGGTGATCGTACGCTAGTCATGAAACGAGTGAGTACTTTTTCATCCGAGGTTGCAATGCAAGCTAAAATATATATTTGTAGACCTCTTCTATTCCGTTCGGATATATTTCATTTCGGTGTAAACTTGAAATTTCCGTATACCGTTGGTATGGTAACGTACAACATTTGTGTAATCTCGTTTTAGTAGTTTGCGCAAAGCAGTCGATGTATTTCCTCTCCCACGCCAAGTTAATATTTAATATACACAAGTAGTTCTGAAGCTTTTGAACGAATATTTGCTTCTGAATTTTTTACTAAAATACGTTAGTCTCGTGAATGGATAATGAGAAGGAAACACGAACGATTGCGATGCATATGTATCTTTTCTTTTTTTTTTCTTCTTTTTTTTTGTAAATATGTACGTACATTAACTGACAATCGGGACTAATTCAGTGATACTATCCGCTCCCTTCATTGTTTCGCTCTACGTCATCAGGACTGGACTTTGTATATTCCAAGCGAACACACTATGGTGCACTGCCTTGTGTCTGTACTTTTGCCGCTGTCGTACGATACACCATGCACATTCATATACGAACGATGAACACATATGTTGCTAGATAGACTATATTGCTTCGGTGGTGAAACTGCAATGGACATGTCGCAACGTTCTTATATATTTTTGTTTCTTTCAAAGCTCCGCGCGTGATCGCGCGTTTGATTTTGAAATTTTTACAGCACACACACCTCTGGCTGGACTCACTACCGTCGCAAAGATAGTTGTTTTTTTCTTTTTTTTTTTATTACGTCGTATCATTACACTCCACACTCACCGACAGTCATCGTTTCACATTATTATCGCACGCATTTCTTTTTCTTGTTTTTTTTCTCTGTCACCGTACCATTATCCTCGCCATCGTACGCGCACTCTAGAAACTTAATCAGATGTCAGACGATCGTGCCACGGCTAGCGGCAATCGACGTTCAGAGATAGATGAGCAGCTCCTCCTGAAGGAGTGGGATTTCACCCGCTTCTTTCAGGGTTTTAACGAAAAGTTGGATAAAATAAAACAGGAGCATCAGCAAGAAGCGGCCGCCGGTCAAGCGAGCAAGTCCGGGTCCAACGAGGATCGCTCCTCATCGTCTAGCGAAAGAACACTCAAGAGACAGGAGCAGCTAGCCCGACGGAAACACGAGCAACAGCAGCACCATCAAAAGCAACAGCAATTGAAGCCGGTTCACAGGCGGCAAGAGAGCGATTCGAAATTGGGCAACGCGTCGAGCGCGTTCGCGCGCGCCTTCCGCCGCGAGAATTCGGATTTTTTCCCATCTGCGAGACACTCGGCGTACCTGCAGAAGTCATCGGATTCCTCGAGGTCCAGTATATTCGCCAGCGGCAATCGGCGCGGAAGTGAGATAAGCGTCGCCGGTATTGTTGGTAAGAAGTGCGGCGTCCACAGCTCCGGGGAGCCGATTCTAACGGATTTCTCGTTGAACCGCGAGGGGCCGCAGAGGCCCAGGAGAGAAAAGACCGAGAGCGAGATCGTCTTTGGTAATAGGCACGAGGCGAGGAGGTACGATTTCGGACGCGATAAAGACGAGACCGCAAGAAGACGCAGTTGTAGACCCCCGGACGCTACGGCCTCCGCCGTAATCGACGATGCGGGAACGATTAAGTCCACGGCCAGTACGACGGCCAGCGAGTACAGCCCTATTGTCACCCAGGTCAGTCCCCTAAGCGAGCCCCGCGAGTCCGAGTCGCGAACGAATCTTCGTCAACCCTTCGCGAGTCCTGCCTGTGTGCTTGCCTGAAAGACCTGTCTCTCGACTACCCTCATCCTACCCCTGTTGTCGACATTTTCTGCCATCCCCGCCGTCCTCTCCCCCATCCAGAAATGTATCTTCGAAGTGTCTATCGAGATATCGTCTCGTTTATTTTTCACGTCGGTCTCTGTCGTACCGTCGTACAGTTTTTATCCGGCTGTAATTGTTTCACGAACTAACAAAGTGCTCTTCACGCTCGTGGACACTTCGAGTCTTTACGTTTTCTTTCTCCCGAGACCATCGTGACTGATTTTTCGACATCCAGCGGCATATAACCGTCACATAGAAAGCTAGTCAGCTACGCTCGACTTTTAGACGCATTTCTTTTCCCTGTATCACCGTTCATTTTCACGGTTTGTCAGATAAGTAGCAGCGATACATTTATTAATTATTCTAGTGCTATCATATTAGCAGTATTAATACCATCTTTCACACTCCGATTTAGATTCATTATTTTCATACGTAAAAAGCGGTATCGGATCTTTGAGGTACAACGTTAGAATACCGTTAATATTTCTGTTGCTATTTCTGTTACTAATTTTACTAGCATCTCTACTACCATTCCTATTACTTCTCTACTATTACTAACACTATTACTACCACCACCACTAACTATACTACTATTAGCGCTATTAATTACTAATTTCTACTGTTACTAAAAACATGGGAGATTCTCGCTGGGAGGTGCTGCTGACACAGTACCTTATTCACTGCTTCCTTTGCTCTTCTTATCGAACAAGAGAGGCTTTTTGCAAACATCTTGTATTTGCCGAGTAGCATTAAAGGCGCGATCTTTTTTTTTTTCAGCGATTTACCTGGGTCACATTAATCATTGTATATATATATATTTTGTCTGCAAACTTCTGAGAATGCTTTAGTTGAAGTATTCATTAATATGGTTGCGGGATTTTTGCGTAAAATCACTAACAAGGGAACAATCAGCAAAAGAGATGTCGAATTTATTAATTGCTACTCCGTAAATCAGACTCCTCTGACTTCCAACTCACTCGCTGCGTCCTTGTTCCCGGCAAATGAGCCTCGTCCTCTACTGTTTGAGTGATGCGTACTATACTATGCAGAAAAGCGTGAAAAAACCATCACTTCTACGACGACGAAAACATGACATCTGGGACTGAGGATTAACCGCATGGAATTTCTTCGGGATACTCGACATCGTCGTTACCATCGGCGCAACGACACGTCGCGGGATTCGGCAAAAAAAAATAAGACGCATCAAAATTCGTGATAGTGAATCACGAAGGCAATCGTTTCTCCGATTAACGTGTTCCTACGTAATTTCACCACGGTTCTACTCACTTTGACGTTCCAATTTCTAATGAATCTAGAGAAATGCGGTTTTTGAGGAAAACCGTCCACAAATTTTTCATCCGTTACACTTCATTTGAAATAATTTTTTTCTGTAAAGCATATCGAATGTTATGCGTCTTGTGTAAAAAAATGAAACGATCAATTTTCATATTAACTACACTTCGAGCTTGAAATATGCTTCCACTTTTTTGTTTAGCGCAATTTATATAATTATGTGTCTAATTTGTATTATTAACGCCAGCTTAAAAACTACATTAACATTTTATAATTTGACGAAATGTTATATTCACGTTTTTCAGACCGTTCTCTAAATTAGTAGTTTTTTATTATCCGTATAATCGAGAATCCCCTTCACTTTGATTTTTGCTTTTTTTTTATCTTTCCGTAGAAGCACAATGATAATTATTGACAGAAATCTTTGTACTGAATTTTTTTTGACAGTATGAAAAGTAATCGCACATAACAAAGCAAGTTATTTTTGTTTAATAACTCGATATTGACTTTTTCTACATTATTCTTCCTATATGAATGAGTTACTAAAATATTACTAAAGATATTAACATTGCAGTAATAATCGCCATCGCGTTTCTTGTGTGTGAATCTCTCGGAAATCCTATCACTCGAACCAGATCCTTGCCTCCTAAGAATGAAAGGTGAAAGAAAGAGAGTGAGAGAAATATTTAACGATCAATGATTGATCTGATGTGTACGAATGTGTTTTATGTTAATACAGTTTCTAATACATGCATGATTTTGACCCAGAAAGAAATAAGGGAAAAAAAGGACAGAAAGAAAGAAAGAGACGATAAAAATATTGTGAAACAAAGATTGAAATACTAGGAGAAGAGGAAGGCAACGTTAGAAAGCAGAGAACGGTCTCGGTGAAAAGTCGAGCGGTCGAGAAACAAGAAATATAGAGTGACGATGGATCAATTTGTAAACGTCGTATCACGAGGCTATGACTGTTATCACGAGCACCGTCTTGCATGACGCTTGCAAAAGCAAATGTTTGCGCCTCGAGATCTGCGCCGCAGCGCGCACAGCGATCATCTCGTGTTTCGTGTTGCAGCACGTGCTAAGCATGCTTTATTTTATGTCTCTGTGTGTTTCTTCGGCATGACGCGATGTAGCGATTTTGTGTTCACCTCTTATCGTCATCTCGTCGCGATTAACGTGCGTCAGAGAAAGGCTTTTGAGAGCTTCAACAAATATAAGACATCGCTTTGTCTACGCGCGTTGGTCGAAAATTAAAAAAAAAATTGAGTGTAACTAGACTGCTGTGTCGGATCGTACGAACGAAATAGTTGCATTCAGTTTTTGCAGTTATTAGCTAATTTCTAGTATAAGCCTAATTTGCTATGGTAGAAGAATATTTATATTTGTTACACATCGTTAGAGCCATATATATAATTTTTTTTATCTATTGTGTGTGTCTATAATTCTTGTGATTGTGATTGTGACTTTGTACATCTTAACGAGATTACTTAATAATGATCAGTTTTAAGCCCGTTTTAAAATTCGCGAGAGAATTCGGGAGAGAAGTCTACTATAATTTTTGTATACTAAAAAAACAGTTGAAGAATCGGAATACACGCGCACAAAACATCAATCACTGTGTGTATTCCAATTTTTTAAATGTTTCCGGTATCGCGCGTGAAATTATAATTAGAATTCGATCTCGAATTCTATCGCGAATTTATAAATTGTTTAAAGTGGGCTTTAGGATGATGAATAATACAATTTGTCTTGTGTGTCTTTACATAATCATGGTAAAACGAATGTGAAATGTTCAGCGAATTAATAACGTTGCAATGGGATAAGTTTAAAAAGAAAACTATATGATTTTAGTTATAAAATATTAGCTAATCGACAATTTGCACGACTACGTTTTCTACTCTTCTTTTCTTTTTTTCACACATTCTGTACTACACATATTGATCAGTAATACTTAAGTCATACAACTTGCGTGTTCGTGAGAAAAAGATAATAACTCGCAGTCTCGTTTTCTTTAGCTGCACTGTGAAAAGAAATTTTTCACTATTATTTATGATGCATTATTTTGCATTTTTTTCTACTTTTTTTTCATAGCTTTATTTGCGCTCTTTGCAGTTCTCTTTCTGCTCTTTTATTTCTGCTTGCCTTTTTGCTTTCCCGTGACATAATCCGTGCTTTCATAATTTCATTGTCCTTCATATCGCTTTACCTCCTAGTTAATCCTTTACTCCTGCCTCTATTGATATTAGCATTCTTATTCTACCTTTAATTAGCAAAACTTCTTACGTCTGTCATAATATCGAGATTTATATTCGCAAGTGAAAGAGTAAAAAATAATCTTGTTTAAAGCTTTCTTGTTTTTTGTACTTATATTGAATTATCACATTTCGAACTTCTCGCGTTTAGCTCTCACTCAATTCGATATAATTCAACGAAGAACCTTACAAGTATCAGTTCTATATATGAGAAACAATCAAAATGGAGAGGAAAAACAGAATCCGTGGAAAAAGACTAATTATTCAGGTCCTGATCGAATCCTTTCTACATCCACTCCCCTTTCTTTCGTTTGTTGTCTCGACTGTCACTTTTTAAATAGAGACTCGCTACTTTGCAGAATCGCGAGGGTGATCGTTCAAGAAGCGGCGGAGGTGATTTCCAGAGGTCCGATTCGTCTCCTGGCTCACGACCCAGTTCGGTCTTACCAGATCTTTTGACTTCTTCGCCGGGCCAGCGACAGGACAAGTCAACTAGCGAGGAGGTCAGATTTATCCGTCCGTTTATGTTTCTATTCATATTCTCTATCCTCTTTATACCGATCTGTGCACGCACTCGCACTCCATTTCGTTTCAATATGTTACCAGAGTAAATCGATGTGAGGAACTTAACACGAATTAATAGGAAATCATTGTCAAACAAGGATTTGCCCACGCGAATCTAGCAAGTGGAAGCGAGTGCGCGCATGCATCATCTTCTACAACTTATTTATTTCTACTTTATACAAAACATATATGTATCGTCGAGACGTGAGTCTTGTGAGCGATGTAACGTACAACGTCGTGGACGTATATAATGATCGATACAGATCTTGAATGATTATCATTTCGTTCTGTAGCAATGAGAATGCTTTTTTCCGTGTTATCGGATTGTCCGAGAAGTAATGCTTTTTGACTGGGTCACAAAACGTTTCTATACTGTGTATTTTTATCATCGAATTATTCTAAGCATACGTCGCAAAATAGGTACGTAATGGTACTGTGTTTACCCGCAAACCCTGATTTTGATATACCACTTGGATCTTGCGAGACTTGAACTAGAGACTAGTGGCAACGACAGTCACGCATACGACGTAAGTTCAACGCTCAGCGCTTCGATCCGGATACACCTTATGTCGCGCGTGATTTCACATTACGTTTAAGTTTGAGGGTTCACACAGGGGGCGGCGGCGGCTTATGCTTTGTGTCGATGTCTTGTTAATTGTCCGTGATAGTCTAAAAAAAAGTGCATTTTGTTGACTATACGTATATCAGTCTGTTGTTTCGTTTCTTTTAGGTTGCATTCTAATTTCGTTATGAAACTAGCAATTGGTACATAGATTTTTCCACGGTATTAATTTTATACTCTTCGTTTTGTTTTGTTTTTTTTTATTATATGCATAAACAAAATTATTGCATACGAAAATATGCGAAGTTATCTTGCATTTATTGTACGATATTCGTAGGAATGAGGAGCTCCGAGTTAGATTTTAGCGGAAATTTATTTCAACTCTTAAAGGAGGAAGAAACTATCTTATTCGATTTCTAGAATCGTGTTCTCTACTCTGGTGAAAGAAATTTAAAAAGAAAAAGAGAGAGAGAGAGAGAGAGAGAGAGAGAAAGTTACCACTAGTCTAGTAACGGTTCAGAAATAACGTTCTCTGTGCACGCGTCACTCCATCTTTTTACTCGAATCTCCTATCAAGTTCTTATTGGCAATAATATCAAAGAAGTCTTTGTGATTCAACGACTCGTATATCCAATCCATGAAAGTGACAGTAGCTTTGCTTCCTGAAACATTTATTCTTATATTATTATAAGAATATATTTATATCCTCTTTGTATTTCTCTCATTTTCACACGAGACGAGTTTCTCGCAGGCGTGCACGGTTCTTCTCCGTTTCTCCCCGATCTTAAACGCGTCGCTCGTACGAAATATTCGGATTGCACACAGGCTACGCGAGAGAGGATTATACCGACCTCTCTTATTAACAATCCACGTGCAAGAAGAGACGTGTAAAATCGCAAATATAGCGTAACAGTCAAATTCGGGCTTGTACAGAATTAGAAATGGTTCACCGTCACGCTTTACGTTACGATCGGTAGGATCGTAGGCCATGTCTCTGTTTTTCACGTGTGATCTCTATATTGCGCCAATTATACGGTTGTCCAGCGTGACTAATTCAGGATTATGTTGTGTGTTGTGGGACACGCGGGAGCTCTAACCCGAAGGGCAGGGCCCTCTACTGACCATTCCAATCCCAATACTAATTGCAATGTAAGTATCTATTTTTCCATCCATTTACGATTTCAAGACGTTGTCCCGCCCTCTTCCACCTCCTCCCCCCGCACTCTGCGCGGGGCGGGGAGGGGACAGATGGGACAAGGGGCATCGTGTTATTTTGCTCTCGGTCATTGATCTTTTTCATTATGCACCGCGCGAGATTTGAATGCCAGTTTTGTATGTTGCGCGCAGGTCGTTTTATCCTAATTTTTGTTGGTTTGTGGGATACCTCTACTCTTTGATGCCTCGGTGTCACACGGTAAAAATGACATTTTCTAACACGACCGCGGCCACCGTTGCTTTTCGTTCTCACATCTCTCTCTTCCTTCTTCTATCCTTTCTCTGGGTTTTGTTTCTCACCCCCGTGAAACGCGCGACGATACGCCAAACGAATGGATCGTGTGTGTTTCACGACGCGAATGTTTTAATCTCGTTGAGAGTGTACTCGAGAAAATAACAAAGGCACAATAATAATAATAATAATAATAAGCTAACAGTTTGCGGATGCCATTGAACGCAGAGTTGATCAGTTTCGAATCTGCTTGATCCTTATACCAAACGCATCCCTCCGACACAATTGGGTTACATGCGAATGTTGTTTGTTTCTTTTTCACACTTATGTCACGTGACCTTACATACAAGAGCTTTCATTTGCGAACGAGGTAATGATACTTATTTGTGGAAGAATGCTACATGTAGATATCGCATATTTGACTCGACTGATTTGTTCTCTCTTCATTTCTCCGTCTTACCCTACTTTTTGCATGCGTTCTTTTCACTATTAATTAATCTACCGCGTTTCTCTACGATTGCCTCACTTTCCGTTGTTTGTGTTTGCGGTAATTGGGTTGAAGATCGATTTTCTAGCATTTTTTAGTACTCTTTTTGTGTACGAAGTAGAATTTTTTCTGCCTGACGGTATTTTTTGGCGCCTTTCACCTGGAGTCCCCGAAACGGCAAAGTCATCTCTGTTGCAGTATCGACAAGCCGTAAAATCACCCCCTCCGTTTGCGCTTCAACAGAAGCAGAGGTCTTTCCTGACTTTCGGATTCGGCGCCGGTCCAGCGAGGAGGGAGTCTCACGTGAACGTTAACGTGACTCCGACTAGCCACGATTTAGCGTCGGATACGCCGGAGATACGCAAATACAAGAAGCGTTTTAACAGCGAGATACTCTGCGCCGCGTTATGGGGTGCGTGCAATTAAAGTACATCGCGTCCTGCTTGGACCTGCTCGAAATCGTGTGATTAATTTTCACTTCTTTGTAGGAGTGAATCTGTTAATCGGAACCGAGAACGGTTTGATGTTATTGGACAGGAGTGGACAGGGTAAGGTCTACCAGTTGATCAGCAGAAGACGTTTTCAACAAATGGAAGTTCTCGAAGGCCAAAATATTCTGGTTACGATCAGCGGTAAGAAAAACAGAGTGCGCGTTTACTATCTTTCTTGGTTGAAGAGCAAGATTCTGCGAACGGATGGTCATAGTGACGTAAGTTCTCTCTTTTCGTAAAGATTTTCTTTCTTTCTTTTCTGACGTGTCGAGCATGATTTTATTTTTCGAGTATATTTCTGTTCATTCGCAGCAAGTCGAACGGCGTAACGGTTGGATTAACGTGGGCGATCTGCAAGGCGCTGTGCATTTTAAAATAGTGAAATACGAGAGGATAAAGTTCCTCGTGATCGCGTTGAAAGATTCCATAGAGATTTACGCCTGGGCGCCAAAGCCGTATCACAAATTTATGGCTTTCAAGTCTTTCGGCGAACTCGCGCACAGACCGCTATTGGTGGATCTTACCGTCGAAGAGGGTACAAGGTTAAAGGTTATTTATGGTAGCGCGGACGGCTTTCACGCAGTTGACTTGGATTCCGCCACGGTTTATGACATATATTTACCCAAACATGTAAGAGATTCAAATCAGATTCATATCTGCTATATGAAATAGGTAGACACGGTGCGATTTATCAGTCAATCTTGTTCGACGTATCTCTCGGCCAAATAAATCTTGTACGATTTATCGTTACTGGAATGCATTCACGTTATTACATTGCATTTCATCCAATATGCAACGACATCGTAGATAGATGCTTTTAAATCGAGCAATTTCTACAAAATATAAAACGGTATCTCATCGATTTTTTTTTCACTAAAATCAGTCTATCGATAAATTGATTAAATTTGTCAATAAAAAATATTGTTATATCGCTTTCGAACTTTTAGATGCTAATTCTCAAACTTTTAAAATCATTTTCGAAACTGATAAATTATTCGAATTGTCGGAAGAACCGTGTGTATCTATTTAAATATATTTTCTCTCCAAAGCTGCGTATCAATATACATTATTGTGTGCTTTTTTTTTATTACAGACTCAAGGACCCATTTGTCCGCACTGTATAGTAGCGTTGCCTAATAGCAACGGCATGCAGTTGCTACTCTGCTACGATAATGAGGGCGTATACGTAAATACTTACGGCAGAGTGTCGAAAACGATGGTTCTTCAATGGGGCGAGATGCCGACAAGCGTCGCATACATCGGCACGGGGCAGATTATGGGCTGGGGCAACAAGGCGATCGAGATCAGAAGTGTAGAGAGCGGTCACCTCGACGGTGTTTTCATGCATAAGAAGGCTCAACGACTCAAGTTCCTTTGCGAACGTAACGATAAGGTAATATAAACGATTTCGCATCGACATCTCTGACGTGCAAACCACGTCGTCGCGATTACGATAAATATAACGTTATATGTCATTTGATATTTTTCAGGTATTCTTCTCGTCAGCGAAGGGTGGTAGTTCGTGCCAGATTTATTTCATGACTCTAAACAAACCGGGCATGGCCAACTGGTGATCCCGAATGAGGCCGCATCTGGCCCCACGAGTACCCTCGCGATTATCGCCGCCGCATAATCCGCCGCGTGTATCGGGATACACAGCATCGGCGCGCACACTCGCCCGCCCTTCACTGCCAGGATCTGGCGCCATGGAGATCAGGAAGTGCGTGCACCGTAGCCAGCATCCTTATCAACAACAGCAACAGCATCGTCAACGTCATCGTCACTATCCTCATCATTATCCGCGTAATCTTTCGTACAACTATAATTATGACTACGAAGAGGACGAAGAGTACGACGACAGATTCCAACGATACTCCCGGTTGCCCCTGCGAAATACACCGGGCACGTTAACGTTTGTGAATCTCTTCGTCAAGAGATTCCTCTGTTTTTTCACTTGCTCGCCCTGCGGATTGCGCAGCAGCGCGGCTTAATGCGCTGAAATGCAGAGCGAATTTTTTCCCAAAAGTGCGCACGACATATTATTGCACGCTGGTAAATCGTATTACAAGTGTTCTATGTATTTCTCTCCTTTTCCTTTGAATATAAATTTGTCGCTTCAATTACTACGATAAGTATCTGTACTTGTTTCGCGTTGGCATGCTTACGTAAATTACCTTAATTGTCGAAGGAACCTTAATATTAAAACGGAACAAAGTGTATTTTACTGTGCATGATGAATAGCTAATAATTAAGAGTGTTTTATACGGAGAAAATGATTTAGAATGATATAATAAAGCGTGAACTTCATTTGTGCTGAAATTTTCTAAAAAATTCTGAGTAGATACTCGTGAGAACAGTGCTGACGAATTACCAGTGCCGCAAAGCCAATCGATTGTAACGCGCAACTATTTTCAGTGTAAGAAAACTCGTGCAATATCGATGAATCGGTCTGTACAAAAAAAAGGAGACCTTATTCTAAGAGACTTTCATTACCTGAAGCGAGGTAAGAAAGCACTCCGGTAATTAAATTGTGAGTGTCGCGTATAAAGATCCGGAGATCTCTCGAGGAATAAAAGAAAGGGCTCGTACAGCGTTTACAATCGTGATTTTCTTTTTTCTCAAGGTTTGTTAATTTTTCAGTGAAACGTTTTTGTGGTCTTGATCCGTTAGAACACGTATAGCGACGTTTTAAACTAAAGCGTACACACGTTACGGCAGACTGGTGCCACGGATATCGATGACGACATCGTTACAATACGACGCGATATCATGATAAAATTAGAATTAAGTGAGAGTAATTACTAACGTTAATTAATTGTATAGTTATAGAAACCGAGGGTTTTCTCCGCCGGCTCATGTGCCAGCCGAGCGCGATGACGATGACGCTGACGCAAGATGAAATGACGTAGGCACTGGATGAGTCGCATTTTTACAAATAATAGATTAATTATACCGTAGGGATTTCGTGATGCACGACGAGACGTGAGTAGCTAAGTTTCTTTTTTCCACGGTTCTTTCAAATCTAAGTAACTCTTTTTACGTTTGATACGCGCCCTGTACTATGTAATGCGAAAAAAAACCACATCCGCACAACCTTTTTCGTCGTGATGTCGTTTGTCGTGACGAACAACGTGGGCGATATAGTCTTCAGCTTTTGTAAGAAATTTGTAATTTAGCGAGACGACACGCACTAAGAGAGCATCCTGCCTCTCCCTCTTCCTGCTCGTTCCTTGATCGCGAATCGCTGTTCCGCCTTCAAGCGTTTTATTACAGTCTGATCTCGTAAGCTGGAAGATACTCCATGCTTGAATGGAAAATCCTTGATAATTATCATGCCGCGATTTCATCGACGTCGGATTATCCACGACTGATTTAAGCGGGTTTACGATGCTAACAACTGGGTGAAAGAATCAACTTCAACTTACGCCGAGTTTCTTCGTTCACGTTGTTCACGATATCGGAGTTCTATCGAACACACGCGCAATTAGTATACGTAATATCTGCAGGGATTTTATCGATACGAGTCACATTAGAAATCCTAGCGGGGCAAATATATTTAATTAACATTACCAACGTGATATAGGAACAAGTGCGATAAGAACGTTAAAACTAACTGTGCGAGTCAGATTATCCGCTAAACATGATTGATTATTCATGCAACTGTGAAAATCGGTATTCGAGCGAGAACAAGACAAGCAGTGAGAATAGTGGATTTGTGATGAGCAGTTATCCTGATTTTTTTTTTCTGCTTTTTCGGTGCGATCAGACTGACATATCTTTGCTCGTCGTGCGCCTTCAAGCAAACGACTAAAAGTAAGATCGATCTTTGTCAATAATTAAAGTTACACTTTTAATAAACGTCATACATGTAACACGAGCAATTAGCGCGACAGAGCAATCCATCGAAGGAGCAAAATCAAGTCACGTGAGATTGTACTCATTTATTTATTTTTACATAAATACATGACGTGCTGCACGCGACACACGTTACACATTTTTTACTTCGGTGGATTTAGCGAACTTTTCGACAGTATCGCGCTGCGATCGTGAAATTGCACACGTCGCGTTATAAACAACGTGTAAATTGTCGAAGTTGTCAGTTGGTAGTGTATAGATTATGCTCGCGGCGATACATTTTTTATACCATTAACGAGAAGGCACAGGAAGGGGCGGAGCTCCGCATAGTGCAACGAAAGACTGCTTTTTAAATGGAAGAAAGCTTTTTATCGCGCGAAGACGAAGAAAACGTGGGATATCGAACGAAAGAGGGGGAGAGAGAGTGCTAAGAGAGAACGGAAGAGTGTGAGAGAGAGAGAACGAGAACGAGCGAGAGAAAGCGAATAATTTTTGGCAAAAACTGCACTTTCGGGTGGTTATTTACGATTGGCAGGAATTTGGATAATATGATAGTAACATTATTATATCTTAACTAGACCTGCGAACTAATTTTATACGAAAACTTCCCTTTTCTTTTCATCCTTTTCTCTACTCTACTTCCCTTTTTAATCTTAAGTTTTTTTTTCACGGTGTCTTTCCTTACCCTTTCTCTTACACATTGTCTCCCAAAGATAGTAATGTTTTTTTTTTTTAATAGTACAGATAATTATATTCACTGCAATTTATATGGATTGTATTATTACAATTATTCCTATCATTACGAACGTCACGATCGTTAGACGCGATGTACTATGATTACGATTATTATTTTTATTATTGCTATTCATACTATTGCTAAGGTCAAATATACGGACATTCGTAATTTCATTGACATTTTTTTATTCCAACCCCTTCACAGCGTTAGTATCATTAATTAGTATTGCTATATAAAAATATTTAAAAAAAAAGTTCTAAGCTATCTTCAATAACCCAGTAAGCTAATATTATCAATCTTGGCAGATTGACAGTAAATTTGTGAATCTGCCAACGTTGCAAATATTTGGCTATCTGGGTACTGACAAATTATTTTTAAATTAAACACTGTCATCGCTATATATAATATACAGTCTGCACATAACTTTAATATTAAGTTCTTCTTAAGTTCTTGATCTGCATTAATCATTGTATTTGCGCAGCAAATAAAAATATCTTTTCTATAATTCATTTTATTTTTTTAGATTAAAATTAGATTAAAATAGATTTTCTACAATGTGCTCAAGATACAGAAAAGAATCTCCCAGTAAAGATTTTAGAATAAAAGAAAATAACTTCTTAAAAATCTTATTAAATATACTAATGTTTTTAGTTAATCGTTTTGTGCTCAAGTTTGGCTTACAAAGAGAAACACGAATAACAACGACTTATAGCAGTGTGAATCTTTTATCATTTCAACCATCAATTTTTAATAAAAAAAAAAAAGGATTCCATTGTGTAAGTGTATGTGTATATATGAGTACAGCAGTGTACCAGGTTCAGATTCGTTTGCTAAATCGAAATAACTGTGCGGTTCGATCATTTGTACTGAAGAATCATCGAAATGGAGTTGAAGACAGACAGGTACCATCTAACAGTAACGCGCAAAAATAGCGCGTTGATTCAAAACAACATCGCAGTTCACCGCTAAATGGCGTGCATTGTCCGTCAGCTACATATAACAACATATAACAGCTACATATAAAATCGCATGCTGTTGCGCTTATTGGCAAATATAAATACGAAAAAGGAAAACATTCGACATTCTATTTTTTACGTCTACGATATTTTAAAATTTGTATTATTTCCACCGTTATATTTATCTTTTTTATTTTTGAGTGAACGTGCAGTCGACATCGATCTGTTGCAATATGTTGATTAAATTTAAACCGTGTACATTTCGCTTCCTGAGAAAGTTAATCCCGAACTTCGAATATCAGATTCAGTATCTACAATAATACAAAATTGCAATATCATGTAAGTTTCCTTCTTTAACTATATAATTATAAATACCGACAGTATTGAAGGACGAAGGGAAGGATATGCGCGCAAGTACTTTATTGTTTCGAGGCGCAGGAATTTCTATATGGTTCATTAAACAAAGGCAAACTTCGTTCACAATGCAAAGTTCACGGAGATGCTTCGCGAAGATCTTTGTCTACCCGAGTTCGTGCCCTCAATTTTTACACATGCGAAAAACGTCCGCGCAACTATTTTGTTGCAATGCCATTTTACCTGACGAAAAACATGATATAGTCTTCACCTTTTGTAAAAAAAAATTTCTAATTTAGCGCAGTAACATCCTGCCTCTCTCTTTTTTTTACTCGTTTTTTGTTCGCGAATCGTTGTACTGCCTCGAAACATTTTATTATAGTCTGATCTTCTAATCTCAAAGACACTCCTTGGTTGAATGGGAATCCTTGATAATTATCATGCCGATTTTATTGACGTCGGATTATCTGCGGCCGATTTAAGCGGGCTTACGATGTTAATAACGGCGTGAAAGAATCAACTTACGCTTCAATTTCTTCGTTCACATTATTCACGATATCGGAGTTATTGAACATACGCGCAATTAATATACGTACTATCTGCAGGGATTTTATCAAAACGCGTTACATTGCAAATTCCCGCGGGAAAATAAATTTAATTAACATTACCAACGTGTGACATGGGAACAAGTGCGATAGGAACGTTAAAACTAATATGCGAATTAGATTATCGGCTAAACATGGTTATTTATGCAACTGCGAGGATCAGTATTCGAGAGAGAACAAGGCAATTGGCTTTTAAAATTGTTTTTACGATGTCCACTTATCTTTTTTTTGTCTCCCAAAGTAGATGGTTTTTTTTTTATAGCACAGATAATAGTTATCACTGCAATTTATATGGATAGTATCACTGCAATTATTATTTCTATTCCTATATTCTTACTACCGCTAAAATCAAATACACGGACATTCGTAGTTTCATTGACGACATTTCTTTGTCCCATTTCCATCGCAACACCGAGCATCCGGTTAGTATCGGCGAACTGACGCGATTCTCCTTCCGTCATTAAAGGGATCGCAATTGGAAGTTTCAGCGAAGCGGTCTATCGATAAGTCGCTACTGTTAATTTGCACACTCGCAATACACCGGATGCTAACGCGATTTTGGTGTTCACTGTGCAACGCCGATGCTTATCGCGACTACGAGTTATCGGCGCTTGTTGAGGATTCATGCACTTCCTGGGCGTGTAGGAATCGAATTTCTCTCCTTCGCCTTCCTAAACGGATCTAGCTTAATCGTTTACCAATTTCCGTTCGCCCATTTTGCGTAGCAATGTTTGAAACTATTCGCGGACCGGTGTATCATCTGCATACATGTAAATGGGTCGCGTCTCGCTTTAAATATTCGCTTCTTTAATCCATCCTCAATTGCTTTATCATCTAATCTCCGTAAACTCCGCAATAACGATCAATACTTCCGCCGAACGGATGCAAGGTGGATCTTTTCATCTAAGCTAATTGATGCAAATTACTTAATTAGCATCAGAGAAAAAATTTTATTTAATTTCCTGTTTATACGCTTATTAAACAATTTACATTGTCGGTCCAGGTATTTTAAAATTCGTAATTTAATCATTGCCGTAAAGTCTCGTTAAGCGATAAATCATGTTACTCTGAATTGGAAGAAAGGAACCAAGAGAAAAATATTCACGTACCTTCCAAGCCGGTAGTTGGTCGTTCGTAGTTTCGGTTCATAGGGGAGCTGTGACTCTCTCTTCGGATAGTATGCCAAACTATTAACCCTTGTAATGCCTAAAAGCCGATATATCGGTTTTTGTTAGAATATATACGATCGATACATTTGCGCGTTTGCAATGCTATATATCTACTAACAAGATTATTGAAGCTTACAACATCTAAACATCGTTCCCGCATGATGGCCGGAAATAAAGAATAGCGTGTGTCGCGGAAGTGTCACACGGCTATTCGTCACGGCCGTGTCACTGCGATCTCATAAATTGTGTAAATTCACCAATGACCGACATTCCGATCGATCTTTGGCGTTTGCGCAAAGTTTGATATCGCCCGTTGAGTCAGGGTACCAGCGGCTGTATTAATGATGGCTAGTAATTAGCAGCTTCCGCGCTCAAAGGCCGCGCGTTCCCTTGGCGCGAGAATCAGAAAGTTTCGTTTCCGTGGGTAATGACGCGAGAGAGGACGTATACACCGGAGAATATGTTTATTCGAAAGTTGCGCGTTAAACGCATTAAAAGTGCTCGCCGGAATGGATCAGCGAGCGTGGAAAGTTTCGCCCACTTGGGTTTAACCCGATCTGCGGGCTCCGTTCGCTTTATCCCGATAACGGCTCCAGGTGTTGACAGTGAAATACAATCCAATTTAATTCTTAAGGCGTAATACCATTTTTTTCATCGGCTCAAGTAGCATCGAGCCATCGGGCTCTTACGTTAACCCTTTGAGGTTTGGATTTCGATTACGCGATTTAAAAAGTTATATAAGATTTTTAAAAAATCTGCTTTTAATAATCAATTGTACAAAAATAAAAGGTAAAAACAAACAGTAAAAGATGTCAAAACGTGTATTCACAACAATTAATTAATAAATAATTAACACTGAAAATGGCCTGATAAAACAGGTCGGAACGTTTGTTAATTAATTATTGTGCACTGTTTGCTCTCTTTATTTTTGTATAATTGATTATTAAAAAAATTATTTTTATAACAAAATAACCATCAAATTTCAACAGTAATCATAATATTTAATTTTGTTGAATTAATTTTTTCAAACATTATTCACATAGAAAAATGATAAAATATTTGGATCTTAAACTGTTTTCTTGAAAGAAAAGCACACATACGTTAAAAAAAAAGAACAAATCAAACAGATTGCAAGAAGATAAAAATTGATTAAAAGACACATTTCTTTTGGACGTTATTTGAACAGCGATCTCGTGTTCAATATTGTATCCTGAAAGAACGTTTTTCTCAGGCCACACCTAAGAACCGTAGCCGAACGCTTCCTCCGCTCCAAGAATGGGAAACTTATGTTTTCGGAGTTAATTGTATGCAAGCTAGTGCTTGGCGAATCGGGAGCGACTCGGAGCACCCCTCCGTCCGTCCCCACCCTTTCTTCGTTTCATTCCTACCTCGTCCCAGCCGGCTTTTCCCAGTCGGAAGCGATTCGGTTCCCATTACCGTGGAACGTTTGAACGTAAGTTGATTGCTCGTACTACGGACTTTTGTATTCTCTAAACTCAGAAGCATTATCGTTAACGAGCAAACGATAGTCGCCGCGCCGGGAGCGCTCGCCCCTCGATACGAACGAACGGTACTTCCGGAAATTCTTGCGCAACTAAACAGCTCCTAATGAGCTTGGCGAGTAATACTCGGCGATCGACCGGATCGGAAACCGAGTTAATGCGCGATTAATCCAATTCTCGACACCCTATTTATTATTAGTTTCGCGGTAACCGCGAATCGAGCCATCGCTGCGCGATACCTCTCTTTTTTATTTATCGCGTTCCAGTTATTGCGCTGCCAATTACCGTCGCTTTAATAATAACAATCGTGCCACGAAATGCAAACCCGCGCGCTGAATTCGTGAGCGGCCTGCTTCAAAAACGAATATCCGCTTCTCTATTTTTCCCGGGAAGCAAGTCAGTCCCTACATCCGTCTTACTCGCTACTTTCTTCGCAGCATCCGGCTCGCTCTCGCGGAATCCCGCGCGAGATAGCGAGGAAAGGGAGGTCGCCGCGTTTTGCGATGTTTCGCGTCGTCGTTTCGCGGCGGAGATATTCCGCGAGAAATCGCAGCGCAAGCCGTATGACCCAAGAACGAAATATTTCCGGTGCTATAGACATCGGTGGCCCGGTTGTTCCGCCGTCGCGTGATTCGTCGACACTGCTCTTTCTCTCGTCTACAAAATCCGTACGTACATCGTATTACCCACCCCGGTACACTCCGCCGCCGTAGCGCCAACAGCCCACGCGGATGTACATACATTTTTATATACGGGGTCGCCTTTTTATATATAGACGAGCACGCTATCGCGCGAGAGGAGAACCCGGTCATCGAACACCTCCCGTCGATAACATGCCCCGCGACCGGTCGACGGTCCACGATAAACGACTGAATTCCGGCTTGCGAGCCGCCTCTTCGCTGCGGCGAGATGCGAGAAACTGCCCGTGGCAGTATTAGAAAACTCATTTTTCCGCTGGCAAGTGGGCTCCGCGTGCTGCTGGCGTTATCTTAGAAATTAATTTTAACAAGGAAAAATTTTAGTACGCATTTCTGTGCAAAATATGCATTTTTGTAGCCCAACTTGTGTCTACGATCGATAGAATAATTGTAACAATAATATCTCAAACTTTTATATTTGTCTTCTAAAACGCGAAATAGTAATCTCTGTTTTTGGAAACTTAAAAAAAACTAACACGATATTATGTCCAAATTGTTCCCACATCAATTTTTTTTTAAATTCTGAAACAAAATATTAATATAAAAAATAATAAAATATTTGTTATTATATATATATATAACAAAATATTTGTTATTAAATATTTTTAACTATATCACATTCATTTGCGGCATTCGTACAGTATTTTTACTACGATGTGATATTGAATTAATATTTGAAAATCGGATATTGCAAAATAATTGGTTCTCAAAAATTCAGAATCATCTGACTGATCGATTTGTGCAATCCTAGAAATTTTTTATAATTTTCCTTGATCTTACACGGAAATGTAATGTTTCAAGTTTAAAAAAAATGTGTCCGTATGTAATACAAGTCTTAATAAATAAAATAAAATTTTAAGACGACAAATAGTTTTAAATCGATATTTCTTCCCACTTTTCAATAGATGATACAGTATTAACCCTCGTCCACAGCAGCGAGGGTCTTCTCGGACTCCGATCGCTAATACTCTATGTATAAATAATAAAGAAACGGATCCGATGTAATATTTCTTTATACCTTAAAAACATATTCTCCCCTGTTTTCCATTTTTTTCACAGTCATGTATTCATTTGTTTTTTCCTTTAGCTATACAAGCGCACTGATAAAAGTTACAAAAGCAATTATTGTTTGATACAGAGCAAATTGTAAAAAAGACATTATACACTCGATTGCGTATCGAGAAAAGGCTCAGGAGGAAAAAAAATAATTGTGCGATGGAGAAAGAAAACTGAAAAGAAAGCGATCACGATTGAGATTATTTTCACGATCAAAGCCACATTCTCGCTCTCGACGAGGTAGATCTTCTCGTTCGCTCCCCTCCGGACGATTAATCTTGGCGGAAAACATTTACGACCCGGGCGCTGCGGCACGAAGCGGCTCGCGAAAAGCGCGCGGAAGGGTCTTAGATCACGACAGCCCCGAAGAATGTGGTTGAGACACGGCGGAGGGAAACGGTTCGATCGAATCACGTTGCGCGAAATAGAATAAAATTATTGTAACGCGCGCGGTATATCGAGCGACGATTAATAGAATATGTATATACATATATATATACCTCGCGCGTTTTCAAAACCGTTTCGGGCGGTTCGTCCTCGCACATCGTATACCCCCACACACAGTATTACCGCGTTCATTCTTAACGCGGGGGACGAAAAGGACGAAGGAATTTGCACGGGCGATTGATGATTCGCGAAGTCGCGCGCGCGGAGAGGGAAGATCGGGG